ATGAGCCCTGTGTGACGCTTCGAAGGGAGCAGGGTCAGAGAACCCCCGCCTCGGGAAATGTGCCTGAGGGTAACTTCATTTGGAAAAGTTGGTTCCTTGATTGATCACCAGAGTGTGACTTCAGGGGGAGTGTTGGAATCTGTAGAATTCACACTCTAGTATCGGTTGGATGGTGTAGTGGTAACACCTCCCAGCGCATATGGGATGACCCGGGTTCAATCCCCGGTCTGACCAACTTTTCATTGTTCAACAGTGCCATACACGTTCATCGACGTGGGCTGGTGGATGCAGTACTATCTCCCCCTCCCCCTCCGAAGCACTATACCCGAGGCCAAGAAACAGAAGAACTGGCAGATCTATGGCCCAGGAGACAAGCCCATCTTGGTCACCAATGTCGAACACGTCGGAGAATACGTTGCACAGATCATAACGGACAAGCGTACGGTGAACCAAGCGGTCATCATATGGGAAGACGAAGCTTCACAATTGAAGGCGCGGGAGATCGGGGAACGCGTTTCTGGCGATAGCGATGCTCTGGAGGCGAAGCGAGTTCACGTGGGCATCTACAGTCTCGATTCAAGACACGGACAAGGAGTCACTCACTTTACGTCTTGTGTAGTTGAACCCGGAGGATATCACTCGATGGACGGCCGAAGGCAGAGCTCACGTAGGTGCTCGGATCAGGTCGCTCGAAGACTACTCCAAGCACCTGCAGTACGACTATCACTACAGCATGCACGTCCTCCACGAGAGTACGCTGGAAAACGCTAAGCGCCTCGGTTGTTTGGACCCCCACTAAATGTATCCGGACATTCGGCAACAGTCACTGGAGGAATATGCGAATGAGTTCTATGCTTTGGGGGAACCTGGACAATACTACCTAAGGGACTGATGCTCGTAGGTCGTGGATATGTACACTCCAATCTGATGTCGACTCTTTGTTGTTCGCACTACTAGGCAGTAGCGAGAGCAAGGTAAAAGCGAGCTATTGCAGGGGATGCATATCTCCTGGGTTTTGTTTCGAACGAGAGAGCGATTATCATGGGCACCTTGCTGTTACCGCTGGGAAAGGAGGTATTGACGCCGCATGCTGAGCCTACGTCAGCGATTTCACTACGTATCGTCGGACCAGATCTTGGAATTTCAATCAGCTACCAATCTAGTATACGTCAAAGGTTGAGCAACGCACCGGAGATTTCTCATTCTAGGTGCACATCTTAATGCCGATGTGAAGCTTTGGGCCATGGCGAGACCGTCGCTCCCCACGCTGCAAGCAAAGAGCAGTCCGAACAACGGGATCTATTAAGCCGCGCATGGATTGGTACGCCTGCTTTGTCAGCGCTCGGCCGACGAAATGTACTCCGATCCCGGGTCGTCTCACGATTCGGAATATGCTTGAACGGTGATCGTTGCAAGAATACCCCAAGCTCGCCTCCGAGTCGACCATCACAGACATAAAGGGAGCTGTTGGATACTTCATTTCATTATCGGCAACCACAATTCGCTTTCATCTGTGCACAGATTCCTATACTCGATCCTAGAGAATGTCTAGCCGAAAGCCACTCGTTGCCGTCGTTGGAGCGACTGGCACCACCGGTGCAAGCATCACCAAGGCTCTCCTTGCTTCAGGAGACTTCGTACGTATTCCCACGAGCAGATCAGACTCACTTTGCTCAACGTTCTTGGGATTCAAGCGCGTAGCCGTCATTGTCCGACCCTCGTCTCTCTCCAAGTCCATAGTCTCTGAGTTCCGTGCTTCTGGCGCAGAAATCCGCACGGGCGATGTCCAAGATGGCATTGAGAGTCTGAAGAAGACCCTCGAAGGCGCAGATATCCTCGTTAGCGCCGTTGTCGCTTGGTCAATCAATGAGCAACGCGATCTCATACGTGCCGCCAAGGAAGTCCAAGTCCAGCGGGTCGTTCCCTGCGACTTCGGCACACCGGGCGCAAAGGGCGTCCGTGCGCTTCATGACGAGGTATGCGGCGTCAGCTTCCTCGAACGATTCTACTTCATAATCATCCCTGTAGAAACTAGCCATCCATGACTTCATCAAGGAGCTTGGTGTGCCATACACGTTCATCGACGTGGGCTGGTGGATGCAGCTCTACCTCCCACTTCCCCTGCGCAGCAGATTGCCGCTGCCTTTGAAGGAGATGACGTGGAAGATCTACGGAGACGGCGAAGCACGCAACCTCCTGACGAACAACCAGAATATCGGCAAATACGTCGCGCGCATCCTCGCGGACATGAGAACATTAAACCACTCGGTGATCGTATGGGAAGACGAAGTTAGCCAGGCCGAAGCACACGCGTTCGGCGAGAGGCTTTCCGGCGAGGGGGATGCGCTCAAAGAGAAGCGGATAGTCGTATGTCTCCATCCTGAGGTGTTACAGGACCACACCACTGATGCACGCACATAGGCTACCAAGGAAGATTACCTGTCCGCGGCGGCAGCAGCCAAGGAGGTCCTAGCCAAGGATCCAAGTGACAGCGGGGCACATATGATCGAGTCCTGGAACGAGTATCAGGTCAGTATGTACGTCCTAAGGGAAAATACACTCGAGAACGCGAAGAGACTTGGGTACCTGGACGTGCGAGAGTTGTATCCCAACATCACTCCACTTCCATTCGAGGAATATGCAAAGCAGTTCTACGCCGGGGAGGATCCTGGCGACGCGTGGTCCAGGGCTTAGCTTGATACTACATAGCTTGTGAGTGGAATTTCGGGCTGATAGCGCATGTGGTCCGATCACATTTATGTCATGCCCTTTGGAATGTAGGTGACGTATTGGAGGCTAGTACCCTTCATTGCTGCGACGGGATAGGGGCGAAATAGTCGGTGCTGAGCGAGATAGTACCGTGGGGGACGAAGCCAGTCGAGTCATTGACGGGGTCATGTAGAAACCAAATATATGTCTTGAATTGTGGGAAGCCAATCATGCACGCTGCCGCAAAGCAGCCCGTCATGGAAATCAGCCAAGATGCCTGGTTGCTAGGTGCGCTGACGTCAGCTTTTGCGATAAAACCGGATCGGATCTGCCGGATCTCTGTCGACGCTGTCGTGCAACGAGCGCGCGGCACCTTGTTCCAAACGCCCAGTTGGAAAGCGTCGACCGGCACCCTTGACCTGTATGCCTCAGCTGCAAGCTTGCTGCAGACCAGTATGAGCTGACGTGCACACAAATATGAAACCGCGGCAACTGACTAGGAGCTTGTAACCGCTGTCACACAAAGTACGTGTCCATCATCGTCTAATTGATAGCTGAGCCAGAGGTGGGTCTCGCTACCTTCTGACACCAGCAATACTCATCCTTGCGTATTCAGCCTTCCGTCGACCACGACCACCATTTAATATGGCCACCTGTTAAGCTGCGGCGCACGGATTAATGGTTTAGTCAACATCCTACGCAGCATCCCAAGCTTGCTTCGCTGCAGGGTCTCGGACATAGCACATAGCAGATAGTAAATGGCGAGTTAAATGTTTGCTAATCTGCCCAACGAAAATCAGAACAGAACCTCCGAGCTCCAGCTATACATACACTAACAATGTCCAGCTACAAGCCACTTGTCCTCCTCATCGGTGCTACCGGCCAAACTGGCAGCAGCATTCTCAAGGGACTGCTAGACTCCGGCGCTGTCGTATGTACCCTTTTCTTCCGAGCCCTTGCTCCCATCATCGACCGCTCACGGTGATCTCCGGTAGCGCGTAGCGGCGCTCGTCCGTCCTTCATCCATCTCTAAGCCCTCGACCGAAGTCCTTCGCACCTCTGGCGTCGAGATTCGTGCTGGCGACATCAAAGACAGCGTCGACAGCCTCAAGAAGACTCTCGAGGGCGTCGATGTCCTCATCAGCGCCGTCGGAGGCCCCGCCCTCGGCGACCAGAAAGACGTCGTGCTCGCCGCCGAGGAGGCTGGGGTCCAGCGTGTCGTCCCATGTGATTTTGCTACACCCGGTGCGAAGGGCGTACGTGGCGTGGCTGATATCGTGCGTCCACGGCTCTGTTTTGTCGCGTGCAGTGCTGACACAATGTTCAGAAATTCGGCATCCGCGAGTACATCCAGTCGCTCGGCGTCGGGTACACTTTCATCGATGTCGGTTGGTGGGCACAGCTCTACCTCCCGTTGCCTCTCCGCAGCAATGCGCCCGCCCAGGTGAAGGCGGGGACATGGCTCATCTGCAAGGATGGATCGGCGAATAACCTCGTGATCGACAAGGGCCATATCGGGACGTTCGTGGCACGCATCATCACCGACCCACGCACGTTGAACAAGGCGGTGATCGCCTGGGACGACGAGGTGACGCAGATCGCGGCGCACGAGATTGGGGAGCGCGTCTCTGGAGAGGGCGAAGAGCTCAAGAAGCAACGCATCTACGTCTGTGACCTTCTATCATCGTCTGTGCACGGGAGTGGTTCTGACAACACGCGATATTGATATAGCTCAAAAGAGGTGACTACCTCGCCAGCGCTGCCGCCGCCAAGGACGAGGTTGCGAAGGACCCGACCAACGTCGGTGCCTATATCAAAGTTGCGATGAGTGAGTATGGCCACAGTCTGTATGTTCTGCAGGAGAACACGCTCGAGAACGCCAAGGCGCTCGGCTACCTCGATGCGAGGGAGCTCTACCCTGATATCCCGAAGTTCACGCTGGAGGACGTGGCGAAAGACTTCTATGCAGAGGCGGAGCCGGGAGATATTTACACTGCTTACGGGTGAATGGGCAAGCAAGCAGGCCAATGCGATGGTAGAATTTGCCGATGTTATGTTGGAATCCTGGCGTCGAGATGACGAGCTCGCGGAACGAGCGCCACAGGTCCCGGATACCCGCGCCCTTATCTACCCCTATTTAGCTACCTATATAAGCCTCATTGTATCTACTGTGTACCGCACGCGTTCGCACCGGCCAAACGCGAATCCCATTTGTGCCCGCTTGCCCTCGAACTTCTTCATATGAATGACTTAGGATCATGTGGGCGAACATCATAGAGTTGCGAGGGCTCAATATAGTCAACTCCGAAGCTCGGAAGTTCGGGGGCACAGGTGATTCCAGGAGTGTAGCCAAGGAAAACAGATCAGAATGATCGACACTGAACTATCCCATACTTACCCGACCGTATGAGAGGTCTCTACCTCACGCACGACTTCAGGCTCTAGATTACCACATGCATGCATATCTATTCTGACGTGGGCGTATTCCCGTTCCGTAGACATGATGAATCATCTAGCGCGTAAGTTTGTTCATGTCGCGCATAAACTGGTCAAAGCTGTGGTGATAGTCGCCGACACGACGAGAGCAGGTCTAGAGCTTCCAATGCTGGGGAAGGGGACACTAGTACGACGCCATAGGTGGCGGCCGACTAAACTGCACCTTCGTCTTGTCTTCAAATTAGCATCGGAGAATGCGTCGCCGATACCTGCCGTGATACCTGCTGTTCTGCGAGCCTACTACAGATGTGCGACGGGTGAGTAGATGAACTTGAAAGAGAGGATAGCACCATCCCCTGAAGAAGGTGCCTGCGGCTTTGTAATGGACGCCATGGGCTTGCGATTCCCTGATCGAGACAGCCGACATTTACCGAAGAGCACGCCGCCCGCCTATGTTCGACATCACGGCGCGGAACCAAATGCTCGTCAGGTAACGTTTGTCAGCGATCGTATCTACGCACATGCCACATGCTGCTCCCTGGACCGAATCGATGCCAACAGCAAGGTTAGGGGCTTGTCACTGAAATACGACTTGCCATCGCATTCCCCGCACTCCCAAGAGCTAGACCTGCAACTCGGACCTCAGTATCCACAACGACTGCATGTACAGCGATAACAGGCCTCTCGTGCTCGTAGTCGGCGCAACTGGCCGCACTGGTTGGAGCATCGCCCAGGGCCTTCTCGCATCCGGCAACTTCGTACGTCCTATCAGATCACGATCTCGGCCACTGCGTTCTACTGACTCACACATCCCTTGACAGCGTGTGGCCGCGCTCGTCCGGCGAGCTTCTCTTTATTTCCGCTCCACAGAAGCACTGCGCACGTCCGGGGTCGAGGTCCGCGTGGGGGACGTCAAGGACAGCGTCCAAACGCTGTCGCTGGCCTTGCAGGGCGTCGATACCTTGATCAGCGCGATTCCACGAGCGCTCATCCCGGAACAGAAGGGACTCTTGGTTGCTGCGAGGATGGTGGGAGTGCAGCGCGTCATCCCTTGCGATTGGAGTACCCCGGGGGCCAGGGGCGTGCGAGAGGTCCTGGATCAGGTCGGGTGTCTTCGCGATATGCTAGGCCGCTTCGGACGACGCTGACACCTCACACGCCGGGCAGAAAATCGCCATCCACGAGTTCATCCAGCAGCTCGAGCTCCCGTTCACATTCATCGACGTAGGATGGTGGATGCAAGCCTACCTGCCACTGCCGCAGCGAAGCGTTGTCCCCGAGCACTGCAGAGCCAACACCGAGACGATCGTCAGGAGAGGGGAGGCGAAGAACCTCGTGACGGACTACAGACGAATCGGGATATATGTCGCGCGGATCATTGCGGATCCGCGCACGGTGAACCGGTCGGTGATCGTGTGGGAGGACGAGGTAAGCCAGAGGCGGGCGCACCAGCTCGCGGAGCGATATTCGGGAGAGGCAGATTTCATCCGGTCTCGGCGCGTTTTCGTGAGTGTAGTGTCTACTGAGATCGCGGAGAACCTGGGACATCGCTGACGAGAACTTCTTTGGATGCGAAACAGGTCAGTCGGGATTACTTCCTCAAGAAAGCGGCGGAGACGAGGAGAAAGATTGGCCAGGACCCGTCGAAGGCGACACCGGCCGACCACGTTACATTGTCGTTCAGCGAGGATATGCACAGCATGTACGTGCTGGAGGAGAACACGTTGGGGAACGCCAAGCGGCTCGGGTACCTGGACGTGCGGGAGTTGTATCCGGATTTGCCGCGGTACACATTCAAGCAATGTGCGAAGGAGTTTTACCGGCTACCGCGACCGGGCGAGGACCACAAGTCGTGTGGATGAGGATATTTGCATGAGCTATCGAGAACATGCCCTTGTACGTCAAAATTCCTACATATTGTGCATCCCTGATTTCAGCGCATCCAGAGTCGTGAGCACACATGGACCATTGTGTCAGCATCGCACGTACTTGGACATGATCACGAGGAGTCCGTCTCTGAAGTGTCATTAGCCTATCCAGCCTGCTGTCATGTGCGCCGTGGACCTTGGCCTCCCTACCGCGCATGACGTTCATAGTTGAACAAGGTCATGGCCGCAGTCGAGATGAGCAAGACCGAGCGGTGTCTTTTTTGGGATCGCTCCTGTCAAGTCACCGCGCAGTGATTAAGGTTCTGTCCTTGGGTCCCGCATACATGGTAGCTATCTCCTGAGCCTTACGACCATCTGGGGAATACACCCGCAGATGACGCTAGATGGCAGGGGTGATAAGGACCGGGGCAGGGAATGCGAGTTTCATTGCACCCTAGGTCTTGGCTGAGTCACTACCGTTCCGGCGCATAACATCTGTCGACTGCTCTGCATTCCATGGCTCCATTCACAGTTTCGAGAACATCTGCGATGGACGGCGATCGTGCTCATCCCGAACAGAACGCCAGCCGCTTCCCCGTCGAAGTCTGCGAGAACATCATCGACATGCTGTACTCGTTGGCCGTCCAAGTCTAAGTCGAACATACTCGCGCCTTGCATCACTGCGCCCTCGTGTGCAGAGCGTGGCGCGTCCGCTCCCAATGCAACCTGTTCTACACTGTCGTTCTCCACGACCTTGCAGCACTCCACACGTTCTCGGCGGTCCTCGACAACGGGCCCCATCGGTGCGAGTATGTTCACGAAGTCACCTTCGTCGGGCGCACACTTCATACCACAGCCAGTCTTCTTTCGATCTTGCCTATTGCCCTCCATGGGAAGCTCTAGTACGTCCAACTCGGAAACTACGAAGATCCTACAATACCTTCCTCTTCATCCCCGCTTCTCGCTCTTCTTCTCTACATTCACGACTGTTTCTGGACTCTATATCTTTGATCTTACATTCGGGAACTTCAACGATCTTGCCAGAATGATAAACTCCCTTCCGGCATTGCGAAGACTTGTTTGCAACGGTGTGCGGTGCGTGACCCTCGGCCCTCTGCCATTCAACATGAAACCGCGAGCCGATAGGGTCCATGCTCCTGGAAAGCCATTTGCATCAAACCTGGGCGAGCCGTCCCTGGTATGTACTCAGCGATATGCATGGCACGCATCTAATACCGTTCATCTAGGTTCACATGGACATACACTGCGTCCAAAGACTGGTATCTGCATGTGGGCCACGTCTCAGGGGATTGACAGTAGCCATGCCCTTCTTTCACCACACAGAGATGGTCCTGCCTAGTGTGTTGACTCTACTTCATGATGAAATTCTAAGCTAGCTTTCGCACTGACATATCACATAGGGGACCCCACCACAGAGCATACAATGGGCGTCACTTGAGCCTCTGCTCGACGCTCGAGCGATTGGAGATTTGTCTGCGTCCGAGGGCCCTGACTGAGGGGCGGTCGCTCGACAAACTCAAGGCGATGCTCAACTCGTGGGATCCTCAAGTTCCTCTCCAAAATGTCCATCTTCGAGCGTACTATGAACACAACTTTACTCAGCAGAGCTTTGCAGACCTTCTCGGTACAGTGGGTCTAGTCCTGGAAGACTTGCTTCGTGAGTCTTCAGGATCACTGAGTGCTGACGGAGAGGTTGGCGAGCAGGGCCGGAGATGGCAGCTATGGGTCGACATAAATGACTGGGAGGTTTGGCGAGATTGGTGGTGGACACATGTCCAGAAGTGCTTTCCGACGTTGGCGAAGTCCGCTGCGCTCAGGATGAACTTTGCCCTACGTAAGCGATCAAGCAACATCATCATTTGCGAGTGTAGAAGGATCACTCAACCGCTATCTTTTATTCCACTAGCACCGTATGACTTGTACAAATGGAAAGACAGCCATGCGCTGCCACCAATGTTGACAACCACTACCTAGCGAACCCGCCCTGGACTCAGCCAAGGTAAGACTCTTCTTGTCGACCAATATTGGCTGTTGAATGCCGTTCCATCTGCTGCTAGCTGTGCCGCCATCTTCGCACGTACTTACATCGTCATGTGAACTCAGGCAACAAGTACGCCAGCCATACGTTGTTCGCTCACGCTCGGTTGCACGGTCGTCGGGTGGAGGAAGAGCAAAGTCTGTTTGGGGGTAAGACCATAGGAGACGGGGCGATCTCAAGGAGGAACCCGGGGTAGGGACACACGGAGACAAAGAGGTGTCAGGGAAGCGGTTTGGCATGAAGGGGTGGAGGCAGTTTGCAAGTTCGGTCAACGTTCGCGTTACACGTGCGGTCCCGATATGCATGCTACTGCTGAATGGATGTGCGTCGTGTCAGGCTGCGCCTCGCGTGCATCATCGTGAGCTCGGAATACTCAACTGTGAGGTTGTAGCGCGGCCCTGAGCGGCATTGCGGTAGAATTAGTCTCGGTAGACTCTAGCACCGCCAGCGTGACTCCGCTCGCGCAATATGAGGTACCCAAGAGGCCGCTTGGGGGGAAGAGAACCGGATGCGTCCGCCGTCCACAGAGATCTGCGGTGGGCAGCGCTGCGAGGGCGGCGGCATCCGGTGACGGTCCGAGGTGCAACTCTATCAGACGCTCAATGCGAGCTCTTTTAGTCATCTCGTCGAGCGAGGATACGGACAGAGGACGCGGGCACCGGTGGGTTTGATACAGCGGTCACCCCGCTGCGATGCGTCCAACGTCCGTGTCTTCGCCTGGCCGGGTCTGTCGCCATTCACAGTTGGCAATCTGAACGTGCGTTGCCCTCCTGTCCTCGAGACGTGCGGCTGAGACCGCCGGTGGCGGAGCGAAAGCGCGGGTTCGCGCTCAGGATGCCTGCATGACTCATGGCAGCGTCGGCGGCAGTAAACCGGGGCAGTAAACCGGTGACGCCATGGCTTGTTCGAGGGGAGAATGAACATGGTGGGTAACAAGGGAGCGTGCGGCCGGCGCAGATGGCCGGGAGGAGCGCCGATGGCTGTAGGCAGGGATGCGGGAAGCCTCGCAAGCTGTACATGCACAGCGAGCTTTCCTCCTTTCGTGCGCCTGTATGCGTCTGCTAGGCACCTCTCGCCCGTGCTTTCAGGTTCCCCACTGCTCTGATGTACCCCCACCTTTGCCAGTCCTGCCAAAAATGCAAATCCAAGACGTCGTGAGCTGACATAATCATCGCCATCTCCATTGTAAACACTGGATGACTTTCCATAAGCTATCTACGGCTTTACGGACGTCCGTAAATCTCTAAACAGACCGATTTGGGCAAGGGGCAGTGTTGCCGACACCAGATCTGAACTCCGCTGATGAAATTTAGGATACGGACGTCAAAATCTAGGAGGGGGGTCCGACCCCCCTTTCTAAATCTCTAACAGGCCGTAGACAGTCCGTAGACCTCGGCATACGGTGCCGTGACCACGAGAAAGGAAGGAGCCATCATGACAAAGCGAACTGCATGCCAAATACAGACATGACATAAGCCACTCCAGTCACGTGCTGATGATGAGCAGAACATGCCGCCTGTTTAGCGCCCAAGATCCAGAGACTGTTTCAAACCCCGCCTAGAAATCTACGGACGTCCGTAGAGCCGTAAATCCTTATGGAAAGTCGTCCACTGAGGGAGGCGTTTCAGAACACCCTGATCTTCGCCTGTGAGGCTCCGCCATGTATTCGCGCAATCACGTCCCTGGCAACGGGTGCGAGGCAGTCGATCGTGGAGCCAAGGCGTGTACAGGGGCCGCGTACACGTTAGATTTCCAGTATGGTTGCGTCGCGGTCAAGCCGTGTGTGGCGTCGCGTGTGTTGTCGCGGCGAGACCGTGGCTGACCACAGCGGATAAGCGAAAACAAAAGGTTTTACGCGAGTTTTGTGTTGTGGCGTGCGTTTTGGTGTGTGGCGTGGCTGGCGTGGCTGCTGAAGCGCACGGTGCAACGTCCTTGTTCACGTATACATAAGACCGCCGACTCGCCTTCTCAGCCTCCGCCACTCCCTTCGTGCTGCACTGGCGGCTGGTACCTCGGGAGGTGAGGAGTTCGCGCGGGCAGACCAGGTACGTCTGCTAGTCCACTGACTCTTCATTCACCACTGCTTACATATTTCAAGTGTTCAACGCATTTTTAGGTTCAGGCGAGCGGCGGCGGAGCTCTGCTGGGTTGATCTTGTCGCACCTTGGGTGAGTAATGTATCTTTTGACCCTCGTAATCTTGCAAACTGAATTTGGACGCTGCCAACGCCTGCTGCAGCATATCTCCGATCTTCGCGTACAACCGCCCGCAACCAGTGCTTCTCCTCCGCCACCTTGTCACGTCCCAGGATCCCATGCCTGACGTGCCGAAGTGCACCAGGTGTCATATACGAAACTCGGCGAAGCAAGGCTGTACGCATGACCGCTGTGCTCCATGCTGCCGGAGCGATACTTCGTATACGTGTGCGTACATCTACCACCGCGAGACCCCGAAGCCTTCGAAACGGCGCATATCCACGGTGGCAACCACTCCTTCACACACTCCTTCGACAGCTTCAATTTCTACTTCTCCCACGTTGACAACATCCGCCTCCGTTCCCTCTATCGAGGCGTCAAGTTCAACTTTGTCAACAACTCATCCGTATGCACAGCCGCTTCATTCCCTCTGGACACCCAACAACGCGTTTGGTGCTGCGGTACAGCAGGCTGTCGATGAGCAGAGGATCGCACTAGCCTCAACAAAGGTTCAGGCGCGTCAGGAGTATGATCGGGTGGTTCAGAAGACGGTGGATTTTCAAGTATGGGTTGAGGTACGTTTCGAGCTTCTATAGAGACTTTGCAATTGTGATGGCTTACTATTTTCATTCACGTCGCAGCCCTTAACTAGACCTTTCCACATATGTGAATTCATTGAATCACATCCGCTTCTAACCCTTGCCACTATTCGGATAATCCTTGAGCGCTTTCCATCGGGGACAAAGGCTGTCGCGCTCTATAATAGGATGAAGGGGAGGTGGCAGGAACGAGAGGTGAATCATCCGATTGCCCTGCAGGAGGGTGAGCGAGAGGTGTTCATTCGTGCTGTGGGGCTCTCCGACGCACAGTGCCTTGACCTGCCGTTGTCATTGGCGCCTAGTTCTACTTTGAAGCGGTCACGTTCCCCTACCCTGGTTTCCGCAGTATCACCGACAAAGCGTGTAAAGTCCGTGAGCATCACTGATTCTCTACTCCCCCTGATATCTGCGGCGACATTTTCACCTCCTTCTCCGAGCTTGACGTCTCCTTCCCCTGGCTGGTCTATTCCTACCCCATCTAATGTATCGCCTGCTTCTCTTGAACAATCCTATGCTGGTCTTCTCGGTGCTCTCACCTTTACATCACTCACTGTCGCGCAACGGGCGGCTGCCTTCCCTTCGAAGTATTCGTTTGCTGAAGTTGCAGCGTTCATTCGTGCGGTAGATGAAGAGGCCAAGAAGGAGGAACTTTCCATAGGGAAGGCTCTCGATTGTATTGTGGCATCCACAGGGGTCAGATGCGGTACCACAAATCTCAACACTGTTAGGATGAATCTGAAGAGGGGGAACTACGAGCTATGGCGAGAGTTCATAGATGCATCACCGACACGTCTCGGATCCTATTCCCAGTACAAGAATAGGGTGAAAAAACTCCCCCCCGTGTCGTCCCTAGATTGGACAAGCTTTCCGCAGGAGCAGAAGCCTGTCTCGACTGGTGAGTCACTGACAGTGGCCTATCACATGTACAACTGATTGATTGTTGTCACCATACTAGGCCCGATTCTTGTCCCGGCTGACGATGCGGCACCGGCTTCCATGATGGGGCTGCCATTTCAATTCACCTTTATGCATCCCATTCCCATGGACTTTCCAGCAGATGTGGCCTTGTTCATAGATGATTAGTGAGTGCTAACCATCTTGTAGGATATGTAAGCATTTCTGACATCAGATGATTCAGTTTCGCTTCTGGCGTCGAGGCACCCTCTTTCTCAGATAGCGCAGATTCACTATTCTGCCAATGTCCACATAACTCCGGATGTCTCATCGATCTTCCGAACCCTTCTGAATCCTGCCTGGGATATCATGCACCAAGTCCATCTGTCTATTCCGAGTCTCTTCACAATCCATCTCTCAACGACCAGATCCCACGATTTTCCGAATCGGATACCACCCAATCTACCACAGATCTGGCATGTTCATCACCCCTGTGGTACGACTCTCCCTTGATCGACACATCCACCCCATCTGCATCATCTGTTGCTGATGATTTCAACGGATTTGTCTGTTCACCCACTAAAGAGCTGCTATCCGCTGGTGAGCTAACCAGCCTCGATTTCGTGAACTCCTCCCCACCTTCTTTACCTAGAGCCTGGAGCTCCCTGGATGGCGCCTTAACAAACTCCTTCTAGGTACCCATTCTCATGTGTCTCAACACATTACATCAACCTAATCGTAGGATACATACCCCTTTATTCCCATCTAATCGTATGTTACATGCCCACATACCAACTTAGCGTTCACATCGCCATTTAATCTCCATCAGTAGTTGATGCGCTACCTGCAGATCATGTTAACACTACTGAATACAAGGGCTCTGAAATTCGAACACATGGTCTCCGAAGCTGAGCAGTACGCTGAGACCGACAAAGCGTGCAAGCAGCTCGTCGAGGAGGCGAACAAGGTGGACTCCATCTGTGCCAACACCGAGAAGGCAATAAACGAGTTTAGGGACCAGATTGACACGACGGAGAAGGTCAGCAAGCTCATCGTGGAGCTGCGCGAGCTTGCCGTCAAGGGCTGGGCGGGCGACACGTCTGTCGACGCTAAAAGATACGCGAGAAGGTCAACGAGACCCAGCAGTCGTCGCTCGGTCTCCTCCAAAAGGTGTACGAGAAGCGCAATGTGGAGGGCGCTGCATTGTTCCAGCAGCCTGCGTCGGAGAACAAGGAGGAGAACGAGTGACTAGGGTGGCACATTCTGTAGCATGGCCCATGGGGTTAACAGGGAAGGCTCGACCATAGGTTAGTCGCCATCGTGGAAAGTGATGGTGCTCGTAGTCGACCATCTACGTGTGCACACGGTGATCGTACGACATCTTGCCAAAGCCCATGGCAGGCTCTTGCTAGCGTTTGGACTCCCCTTCTCCTGGTTCTCCTGGCACGCATGATGCGCAAGTGCAGAGTTCAGAACCGACGCCAAACCTAAGTCGATAACGACATACCGTAAGGCTTTACCTCGCACCATGCCGCTGCATGGTGACATGCGCACTGAGGTGATCCGAAGTCTTGTACACCTTCGTACGCCTTCGTGCAATTCGGCCAACTGTTGCTAGAGTCCGCGCTCGCTTGCCCTGGTGCTCCCTACTGCGGTTTTGAGTGATACAAGCTGTTCCCTTAAACAACAAAGGAGTAATTGTGCAGTCATAAAAGGAACACCCGTACCAGAGACGTCCTCCGCGCTGGCTACGCTAGCAGCGTTCAACGGAGAAAACAGCGAGCTTGCTATGTGGGTCCTTGTTTCGGGTTTGGCCCGCTTGAACACCGCGTTCTCTTCTTCTTCATACCCTTGAGCACCCCTAAAATAACTTGAGATACTTTGCAGTTGCGTCCGGAGTGGTGGCTGGTGTGATGGGGGTACAGGCGACGTGAGGATGTGCAGCACGAGGAGGAGAGGAAAGAAGTGCCGCCGTTTGAGCGGCTTCAGCGCTTGCACTTGCGCGGACGTAGGGCCACAGGTTGTTCTCCTTCCCTGCCGCCTCTCTCTGCTCGTAGTCTTGCTGGGACCTGCCTTGGCTCTGCGCTATTCTCAGATATAGATTTACCAAGTGAGATGTCGACAAGCCCACTTTAAGCGATCGCTACCGTGCCCCAAGGCATCGGACTTCCTCGATATCGTCCTTTCTTACCCACCTCGACCCCGCTCTCGACGAGCTCGGTTCCGTCAAGGACACATGGAACGGGGTGTCTGAGCCACGATGTTCCAGCTGCCACTCGCGCAGGTACGTGCGTTCAGACTTCTATCAGAGCGTCCTCACGTTCCTGATGAAGGCCCGTGCTTATACAAGATCCTCTCCTTGTTCTCTCTCCTCATGCCTCTGCCTCCTCGACGCTCTCAATCGCGCACAACCCCCAGTCTGCATCGTCCGCCTACGTGACCTTGATGTCGCTCACCTGTCGTGCCGCAAGCCCGTGAATACCCCACGCCGGTCGCGCGGCCCTTCCGCTTCTCTTCTGCCCAGCACGACATGAGCTCGGATCGCAGAGATAGCAAGCTCTCTGAGCTTCTCTCTCACAAGCGCACCTCGTCGCTGCCACCTAAGAAGGACAACGGTGCTACCCGCGGTGCGTGTCTCTCGCAGTCTTTCCTCCACTTTCCATCGGAGCGCCCGCATCTTCGTCCACGTCCATGGACTGCTCCTGGCGTCGACACGGATATTGGATGCAGCGGTGTCGCATCGCCCCCAACTGCCTTCCGACTCTGCGTCAGAAAGCGGTATATATCCGGGCATGTAGGCTGCTTCGTGGGCGGCGCGCCTGGCCTCCGCACGCCAAAGGACCGATGTCATTGGGCGGACGTCATAAGATACTGAGAAATTGGCCGGAGCCTGTTCGTTTCCATGCCGCGCCATCTCCATCCCAGTGTCTTGTCCGAGTGCTCTTATATGCGTCCAACACTGCTGACTGGCGACGCTGTCAGACCCGTTCACAGCGCATCCCTCGGGCTCTGCGTCGTTCGTCACCTATGAAGCCTCCGCCACCCCTGCTGCTTCATCCTCCATGTCTCCCGCCTCTCCGTCCAACCCACAGCAGAGCCCCCTAGCCGGCCCGCCAAAACGTGCGCGTGGGAGTATGCTCCTCTCCTCGGGTATCTCGCTCCCGTTTTCACGCCAGCGCAACAAGACCAAGAAAATACGGCCGCCGCCACCGGCTACTCAATTCATGTTCTCGGAGGTGATAGAGATCTCTGCGCCTCCACCGCTGCCCCCAGAGGAGGATGAGGACCGCGACCGCTTACGTGACGCGGCCGCACAGTCTATAGGATTCGACCCAGTCCTCCTGGAGGATCGCGAGAGCGTCTCCTCGCGGTCGCACATTCTCTCGTTTTCCGAGTCGCATGCGCGCTCGGAAAGGTCGAGATCACGCTCCCGGTCCAGGTCGCGTTCCCCTTCGCCAACGCGTATGCGGTCAGCGCGTCCGGCAGGCTCCCGCGCCGAGACACCTGCCGTGCGTACTCTACCGCCGTTCTCTACGAATCGGGCGGCGCTCGCCCCATGGATCCAGCGTACTTCGCGAGTCTTCAGGCACTATCCACCAACATCGCTCTTGCTCTACGCTCTTTCGAAGCAGCGGAAGAGCCGCACTCTCGTCCTTACTTCCTCGCCATGTCCGCCATCTGGTCCGCCGACACATACGACGTCATTCTCCTCGCAGTCACAATCCCCTTATTCGACGCTTTCTTCGTCGTCACAGCCGCAACATGTAGCACACCTGCATGTTTTCAAGTCGGATGGCGTTAACGACCGTGAGATGGAACGGGTCGAAAATGGTGCAGATAGCGTGGTCTTCGTGGCTGACGAAGAGATCGGTAGCCGGCGCGGTGTTGTGAAAGTGGGTGGAGTGGGAGGTGCAGAGATAGCTCTGTCTATGGCCGACCAATCGGAGTGGATTGACGCTATCAAGCAAGCAGTGCTCAGCGAGAGGTATGATCTTCTATGTCAGTTTGAGCATAGGAGCGCAGCTACTCACGATGGTTTGTTGATGATTCGTATAGATCCGTACGTGCCGGCTTGGGTGCGCTGACCCACAGCAATGGCTTAGAGCCTCGAGGAGATCTGGACGTCATGCTTTCGATACGTGCGCAGGGCATCTTCACCCCTCCCCCTCTTGCAACTCCTGTGACTTCAATGTCGTCGGCTACATTTCATAACATGACAGCTGGGGGGACCACGTCGTCACCTGTTCCTTTGTTGCATTACATATCTCCCCAGCTCTCGTGCCCGCCCTTTGTTGCAGTCTCCGCGCTACGTGGCCTTTTCGGAGCAAACCGCCCTCGTTCGCCTTCCGCAGCGACCTTAGACACGAGCATGAATAGTGTCTGGACGTGATGGCACAGAGACACCGCCACCTCCGGAAGACTCTTCATTTGTTCGTGCAGGGACAAGCTTGTTGAGCATGCTCCGGTCAAGCAGCGTCTCTGGCGAGCGACCTCTTCACCGACTACCCCTCTCTCACTGACTACCCCTCTCTCACTGACTACTCCTATCTCGTCCGTTTCAACCACATCGCAAGTCGAGACCACCTCGCCAGTCGACCTTCCAATACAGATGAGCCTGATCTCCCCTCCAGGGCCTGTACCTTCGCTCGACCAGAAGATCTTGCAAGACCACGATCGTGGCAGCCTGTTGCCGTCTATCGGTCGAGACAGGAATATTGGCCTCGGGCTCACAGGCTTGAATGGTGGGAGCCTCGACGCGCATGTTGTGCGGTTTCACAGTGGCAGCATTGGGGGCCAAGTCGCTTTTCGTCGGCCACCTCGACTACCGCTACATCGATACCCCCGGTACTCCCAATCACTCCCCACCGTGCTCATCCTCAACAAGGCTGACGTTGCACGTTTGGACGACCTCGCCCCCGAGCGTTGTGCAATGGTGAGCGAGATCATCAACGCACAGGGTGTCAAAGACGCATGTCTCTACATCGCCCCCGCGGTGCGTCATGTCCTAGGCTACGATCCTGACGAGCTCGTCGGACACTCTCTTGCAAAGTTCTGTCACCCGGCGGATTGTGTCTATCTCATGCCCGAGCTCAAGGAAGCGTCTGCTACCCCTGGACCCTCGTTGCTCATTACCGGCCTCCCTTCAGCTCCCACAAGCACATTGTCGGCGGCGGATCCCAGCAGCCCCGATACCTCGTTGGAAACGTCTCCACAAGCCGCCTCCCGCACAGTTGATCTCCTCTTCCGCATGCAGGCCAAATACCGAGGCTGTGTCTGGGTCCAATGTTGAGGACACCTCCGCATCAAGCCCAGTATGGGTTGCAAGGTCATCATCCTCAGTGGGCGGCTCAGGAACATGCCCTGCCTCGAGTGGGGGCCGATCTCACACGCAGGAGGACTATGTAGTCGCGCCCGCTCCTCCCGCCGCGTCCAGTCCCCTCATGGGCACGCCCAATGAAGAGTCAGAGGATCGGCCGCCCGAGCGCAAATTCTGGAGTCTGCTGAGCTCCAACGCTGTGTTCTGTACGTCGGCGCTGCCGTTCGCGACGTCGTGGGCCGGCTTGCCAGAGAGGTGATCGGGAAGCCATTGGCAGATTTTGCCGGCGAGAACTCTGCGCAGGAGGTCAATATGGCCATCGATGTCGAGATGATCAAGATTCTTCTCGTCCCCGGGGCAAGCGCGAGAGCGCCGGTCTCACCAAGGACCGCAATCATATCTCCGTCCACCTCGTTCTCTAACGCTCCCAACCGCAGCAGAGCGCTCCCTCTGGATAAGCCAAACAGTCCGCAACGGAGATGAGCCTTCCACAGCCGCCGATCGTTTGCCAGATCAAGCGATGTGAAGGCAGCGCATCGCCGCTGACGAGATACTTCATCCATTCTCTGTGCGAGAGCGTCTTCGACGACTCGACGACAACGAGACCGACCTCGACCACTCAAGCAGTTGGCAATATGAGCTCCAGCAGCTTAAATTTGAGAATCGACGGCTCGTGGATGAGGTCGCTTCCCTCGAAACTGGCATCTCCAAGAGGTACCGCAAGAATCAGACCTCGATCGCTTTCGAGCCATCGTCCAATCTGAGCTCAGGTGTGGCCGCCGGCGTCAGCGTCGGCGGGACAAAGGATGAACGTCGCCTATGCGCCCCACTCGTATCCGTTGTTGTCGTCCAGTATGACTCCGTCATGACAGCGTGTGATGCGCTTCTCGAGCACCACGTCGACATGAAGTTGAGGGGCAACAAGGTCACCGGGATCTTGAACCGTCTCCATGTCGCTGAGCCTAAGCCGCGCGATAATGTCGTTCGTGCGCTGTTCATCCCGGACGCCATCAAGGACCGCAAGAAGTATGACAAAGATGACTCAGAGTGTTGTCGCCTCGAGCGCGACATCGAGGCTGAGGAGGGCGGCGCAGGTGTCTACAGCAGAGAGCTACTTGCTTGAGAACGATGAATGAGGTGGCGATGAATCATTGATGATCGGGCTCTCTCTCTCTCACATGTACCCCTTGTTTGCGTGGCATCATTGTACTTGTAGTATTGTATTCACGAATTTCAATACTGGCTTTGGATATACAGCCACTACGACCGGTTATGATAAACATGAAGCTACGTCCTATGCAAGAACAGATGGCGGGGAAGTAACATAGGGTGTGCACCCGCCTTGCCGAGGTCATCCGCAGTAAGCAGGTTCCGAATCCTAATCACCTCGTCAAGGAAGAAGTCATAGCGACTCTCACGCATCTCCCGAACCATTGCCTGAAATCCACCAAATCAAGCGTTGGTCATCTCTGCGGCCGATGAATTGAAGCGCCAGCGATTGCCGTCAAGGAGTTCAGGGAACATTGCTGCATTGCAGTGGGTGCCGCAAAAGGTGTCCGAGTCCTTATGCTTTGTCTTTGCATGAAAAGGATCCACAGGCATTGCGCACTTGTCGAAGTGGTGGTCGCCAATATGGAGGAGGTGCTTCTTGAGGCTGCAAGCGTTGTCATAGTAAACTACTTCGGGTACGGAATCCTCGGTGGGAAAAACAATCCAAAGAAGCGTCTACAACATGTCATGACATGCCAGACAAAATACAGTATGAATGACTCACTCCTGCACCACCAATCCCTTCAGACCCATACATAGTTGCGCGTCCTAAAATCGTACCACATGTTGCAACAACAAGTTGTTCATTGTGGGTCCGTCGACGCCCAAAACGAGCACGGGGTTTGGTATTCCCCTCATCCGACTTGGATGGACACTCACCATCGTGATCGACATCAGTGAGCTCATCAGTCAAACCACCCCCATCATCCTCCAATGCTGATGCACGGAGACGCTCTAGACGCCTGCGAAGAACAAAGAGAGCTGAGCGGCCACTTGTATCCTCGAGAGCGCGGTGTGTTGGTTCTTCACATGTTTGGTAACTGGATGATGCCTGAGCAGTACAACCAACAACAACACAACATGAGTCCAGGCCTGAATGTTTAGGACAGTAGCGTGCGCGCTGAGAAGAGAGCTGCTCCTTGCAGTCGTGAACCCCACAGCAAGGGCGACCGATGGTGATACCATCCATTACGACAGCGCGCATCACATCTGCCAAATGAGAGTAAGTTGAGATGTGATGGAGGCTAACCACAAACATACAATGTTGGTCGCCATCCTTCTTGATCGCGCAGCACTTGTCACAGACATGATTCCACCCGTCACGTGAGGGTCCGATAAAGGCTGCGGTGCGCGCTTCCAGCTGCGGATCAAGACGTGTTGCCTGATCGCCAGTGTTGGAAAAGGCAAGTATTGATGCGCGACGAGCATGGTCACGCAAAAGTCCATAGATAAAGAATGTGTCGGAAAGCAAGGATGCGTTGAGTTCAGGACGCACAGACCAGTTGATAGGAAAGCACTCAATGGCAGCACAATGCTCCAGGTTGTAGACTCGAGCATTGTTTGTGAAGGAAACCCTGAAAACTGGTTATGAACGAAGATTCACTACACCCAAAACAAGTCACATACCATGCACATGCCGTCAGGTTAGTGAAGCGGTCACAAAGCTTGTCGTCGATGAAGACGTGTGTAGTCACGTGGATGGCAGTTGGAGTGGGACCTTCATAGTAAGTGCGCGAGTCCCCTGCACTGTCTATCCAGTAATTTGGATAGTAGCGAGCATGACATTCTGTTGAAATCATTGTCAATGCCAGCTTATGCATACAGGAACCTGTCCATCCTCGTGTCTCGCACCTCGCAGAAGTACTCGCGGCGGTGCTGCTTTTCTTCTCCCATCCAGGCAGAAAGATTGTTACTTACGAGGACAGCGCAGAGAGTGAGACACAGCCGGGACAGGGCCGTGCTCACGTGAGAAGTAGACAGTGTTTGTCGTGATGGGCTGTTCCAGAACCCGCTGGTCACCAGCATGCCGACGGAGGTACTTACACCCAGTACGAAGGCAGTTGCGCGTTGGAGGGTAGAGGTTGTATACACCTTGCACGTGAGAGTCAGTAGATAGCTGAGAGAACGAGACCATGCGGGCGTACCGATACCATGTCTAACTCCAAACTGGATCAAAGATTCCACCACACGTCCTGATAACGATTTGCTGGAGGGCAGACTTAGCCACAAGACGTCCCGGAGGAGAGTCCACAGTTCAGAGCAGATCGGAAGAGATATATTGAGAGCACTGGCCAAGAACGTCTGCAGATTGTCTGGTAAGAATGATGGTGGTGAGAACTTGTAGGGAGATTGTGACCAAGATAGGATGGGCTTGAGATAGACAATGAGATCGATGAAGAGACTGAGAGAGGAAAAAGAAATTGCATGCGCGATGGCGGGGTTGGACGCGACGAGACCAAGGATGGAAGCAACGGACTCGGACATTGAAGGAACGGCAGCGGCCTTGAGGAATATGGGGCGGGTGGAGGATCAGCAACTGACCAAAGAGTCTATATAGACCTGCGCACTTCCACGCAGTCGAGCGTCGTGCATACGCGACCCACGGACGCTACAAGCAAAAGGACGACGCGAAAGCTTTCGATTTTCGGCAATAGTTCTTTCTTGGGCGTCTGAAAAAAACAGAGTTTGTCGCTTACTCCTCGGCAAAAACCTGAAGTTTAGACGCCCGCACCACAACAACACACACAGACTGACCGTGGCGCAACCATACTGGAAAACTGACGTTCTGGAGCAGTGGGGTGCAAGGAGTGCGAGTGCGTCAGGTTGGGCATGTTGTCATTGCTTATTGAACCCTGTCTGCCTACGGGAATTACATATGTCTATAGCCAGCCGCGCGCCAAACAGACTAGGAGATACAGCGGCGAGGAGAACATGGACTCATTGAGAGGTTCCATACGGGAAGTGCAAGGTTGCGAAAGACTGGGCGGAATCGAGAGAGGGGGACAAACATGTGCACGTACCATACAGATGACTGAACCGTTGCTTCCGCTTAGCCCTACGCGTAGAACGAGATGCACTATGCTGGTCCTCTCTTGACAGTGTTGCATGGCGGACGAAGGGCAAGTAGCGCAGAAGAGCAGAGAGGGAGAGTTGCAGGGAGTGGAAGTGCGTTGGCAACTTGGGATGACATCGCACGTCGGATGCTGTATCGAATTCGGCTTGTACGGAAACGTGTGCCGGAGTCACAGAGCGAAAGGCCCCAAAGATGTCTACGAAGGTATATACGAAGGTATAATTGTACATTTAATGTGCTTTCAGGTCTTGTTGAGTGCTCACCTGTGTTGCTACCTGTTACTTCTTGTTTGTGTCTTACCGAGCATATCGTCAAAGGAAGCAGGCCATAAGTAGCGACTGGTGACGAGCTGGAGCGGGCTGTTGCCACAGTATCGGCCTCCTTTCACGCGTGCCATAGGTCTGGGCTTGCGGATGCAATCTGAAGACGATGGTGTCATAGGCGCCGGCGCGACATTCGACAACGCCGGCTGGTTACACGCAGTCAAGGTTCTGTCCTTGGGTCCCGCATACACGGCAGCTATCTTCTGAACCTTACGAACATCTGGGAAACAGCACCCACAGTTGACGCTAGACGGCAGGAGCGATAAGGACCTGGGCAAGGAATGCGGTCTCGTTCGCACTCTTCACTCACTTATCGGCACTACCGTCCTGCGTATGATCTCTCGTCTGCTCTGCATTCCATGGACTCATTCACGGCGACAAGCCACTCGCGCAATAGACGGCCATCGTGCTCACCCCGACCGCAACGCCAGCCGCTTCCCCGTCGAAGTCTGCGAGAACATCATCGACATGCTCTACTCGTTTCCCATCATGGACCGAGTTGAAAATGCTCGCACCCTGCATCGCTGCGCCCTCGTGTGCAGAGCTTGGCGTGTCCGCTCCCAGCGTAACCTATTCTACTCGGTCGTTCTCCACAACATAGAAGCACTCCAGAAGTTCTCCGCTGTCCTCGATAACGGGCCCCATCTGTGCGAGTATGTCCACCAACTGACACTCATGGGGCGCACCCTTCATACCACAGCCAGTCCCCTCTCGCTCTTACCCATCGCCCTCCATGGGAAGCTCCCTAAGCTTCAAGAGGTCACTATAAATCGTGTTCGCGAAGACGAGGACTGGTACTCCAGCGCGTCTGAATCGGAGTCCGCGAAGTCCCTGCAGTACCTTCCTCTTCATCCCCGCTTCGCGCTCTACTTCTCTGCATTCACGACTGTTTCTGGACTCTATATCTTTGATCTTACATTCGGGCACTTCAACGATTTTGCCAGAATGATAAACTCCCTTCCGGCATTACGAAGACTTGTTTGCAACGGTGTGCGGTGCGTGACCCTCGGCCCTCTGCCATTCAACATGAAACCGCGAGCCGATTGGATTCATGCTCCTGCACGGCCATTTGCACCAAACCTGCGCGAGCTGTCCCTGGTATGTACTCCGCCATATGCATTGCACCCATCTTACACCGTTCACCCAGCTCAAAGTGGACATACACTGCGTCCAAAGACTGGTATCTGCATGTGGGCCACGTCTCAGTAATTTGGTAGTTGGCATGCCCTTCTTCAACGACACAGAAATGGTCCTGCTTGGTGTGTTGATTCTGCTCCGCAATGATACTTCCAAGCTAGCTTCCGCACTTACAGAGCACATCAGGATACCCCACCACGGAGCACTCAGGGGGCGTGGACTTGAGTCTCTGCTCGACGCTTGATCGTGTGGACATCTTTCTGGAACCGGAGTCCGTGACTGACGGGCAGACGCTCGACCAATTCAAGGCAATGCTCAACTCGTGGGGCTCCGACGTTCCTCTTCAAAACGTCCATCTTCGAGCGTACTATGAGCACAAATTTGCTCGGCAAGCCTTTGCAGACCTTCTCGGTACAGCGGGTCGAGTCCTGGAGGCTTTGGTTATTCACTCTTCTGCACCACCGTGTGCCGATGGAGAGGTTGGCGAGCAGGGCGGGAGATGGGAGATATGGATCGACCTATACGACTGGGAAGTTTGGCGAGATTGGTGGCGCACACATGTCCAGAAGTGCTTTCTGACGTTGGGAAAGTCCGCTGAATTCAGGATGAACTTCAACCCTCGTAGGTTATCAAGCAACATTGTCGTTCTCAAGTGTTGCGGGATCACTCAATCGCGCTCTTTGATTCCACTAGCACGGTATAACTGGTACAAGTGGCAAGATAGCGATGCTCTACCACCAATTCCGACGACCACTACCTAGTGAACCGGACCTTGACTCGGCCAAGGTAAAACTCTCTTGTCGATAAAGAGTGGCCACTAAAAGCCGTTCCAGCTATCTTCACATGTGCTCACAACACCGCAAGAACTGAGGCAACATGTACACGAGCCGTACGTTTTCCGCTCACAATCGATCGCACGGCCACCGGGTGGGAGGTAGAGCAGAGTCTGTTTGGGTGTAAGAATATAGGAAGCGGAGCGATCGCAAGGAGGAGGCCCGGATAGGGATCCACGGAAGCGAAGAGGGGTTAGCAAGTGGTTCGACACGGAGGCAGCTCTGCAAGTTCGGTCGATGTTTGCGTTTCCTGTTTCGTCTCGATCTGTATGCTACGGCTGAATGGATGTGCGTCGTGTCAGGCTGCGTCTCGTGTGGATCATCCGGAGTTTGGGATACTCGACTGCGGGATTGTAGCGCAGGAGAGCGGGTCCTAAGTGGCATAACCATAGGGCGTAAGAGTATTTGAGGGCCGCGATGACGTGCAGGACAAGGGCACACTCACTTGGTGGCAATCTGTCGGAGGGATCTCTATCGCGCTATCTGAGGCATTCAAGAGTTGACTTTGCAGGGAGTGTCGAATGCGTGCGCATCCCGCTGCCCGCAGATGCGACCTATCTATTGTGACGCGAGTGGCGCAGGCGGCGTCGTACGGGGATAATCGGAAGGTGCATTAAGAGCCCAACGCGGCCCCTGTTGTCTTTCCCGCACCATCGGAGAGAGAAGCGTAGCGCTGGCTCCCGGGCCCGCGAAACGTGAACCAAGCGATCTCTTGGTAGCGCTGATGGATTCGGAGCCTTTGATTTGGTACGTAAGTGTAGGGTGAATATCGTGCACGTATAATCAACGAGCTTATCGGCATTTACCACTTCCGAGTCCAAGGCCGTCTGCGTCCTCCATATCATCCGTAAGTCCGCCGCCGCCGCCCTAGCATAGAGTGTGGTCGTGCGGACAGCTTCATCCCCTTGAGCTCGTTCGCGTGTCAGCCAGGGGGCAGGATCAGAGACCTTGTATGCGGTCTGGATGTTTGGTGAGAATCAACGCGACTGAGAGATGGATGACCTACACTCACAGAGATCTCCGGGAACGCCTCTGTTCGCCCAAACCGTGCGCATTGTTCGACGTGATCGGTTGTTAGTGTGCAGTTCATGCTTGAACTCGCCGTAGGGACCAGAAGACTTGGGATGGGCTCGACTGTCCAGATGCGCTATGTTGCTCTTCGGACGTATGAACGCGGCGGGCGAGATCCATTTACTCCCCGTATCTGATAGGAGTGCTGCAGCCGTCCAGCTCAGCTTTGCGCTTAGGCTGGGGAGATGATTGTTACAAAAACCATAGATAGCGCGACGAGAAGTGGGATGGGAGTCGACATGTTGGGCGGCAAAATGGAGGCATCGCACATATCTAGCAGGAGCACACACGTAAACTATCTGAACGGGGAGATCACTCTCCATAGACTGCATGACTCACTGTTCTCTTTCCCTGCTCACCAGATTACTGCGCTCGCATGTGCCACACTCATGTATCCGGTTACAGTCGCGCTTGTTCAGCCTTGTTTTGTGGCGGGCTCAGGACGGTCCGGGATAGCTCGGCAGACGCATGAGTGGTCTTGTGGATCATGGTGCACGTGAAATCTCTGTAAGTGCTTTGCGAAGAACAACGAGCTTGTAGGCTGAGTACTTACTGACAGACCTCGGAGATCGGTATGCCACGCGCACAATGGGTAAAGTCTCGCTCCTCTCCCTCATCCACATCCACATCTCGATAAGGCAGACGCGCGTAGTGAGGAGAAGCGCAAGAAAATGGGATGAAACCACTGCCCGAAGACAGTGCACAAGCCAGGGTTCGCAGCCAGGATGCATGGAGAGCAAGGCCAACGTTGGCGAGCGCGCATGCAGAGCTCGAGCGTGGAGATGAGGCCAGGCGAGAGAGGAAATCTAACAAGAGCGGAGACGTGAGAGCAGCGAGCGGAGCAGACCAGAAAACGGCGGCGAGCGAGAAGGCAAGACGTAAGTACTGCGTCGTGTGGCAGCGAGCAGGGCGCCTCCATCCTGGCCCGCTCTGCCCATCGCGTACTATTGTCTCCTCCCCTCGTCTCCCTCTCAGCTCCGCCGATGCTACTTCGCCTGCACAAAACAATGTCGAGCTCGGGAATGTATATTAGCTCTGCTCACCACGGTATAGATCTCGTTCTAGTTTATATTCTCGGAGTCAGTGAGGAGGTTTCGTGAACCTCCTTTCACTTTTTTTGTCACGTTGCGGCCGACCACTGTCTGCGTAGTGCGACCCTGTGCCATATATCTGACCAGTACCATCCCAAAGCACGCCCAGTACCTCCATCGCCCCTCCAGCCTCCTGCCTGACCTGTGGACTCCCTCGGTTCGCACTGCAACTTCTCCACTATCGGCCGCTCTTCTCATGCCTACTTCCTTGCGCGCATTGGCGCTTTCTTCCTGTGATGCTGGTGGGACAGCGTCTTCACTGTTTAGTGAGCTTTCCATCCGCTCAAGACACCTTCGTGCGTCGTGCGCTGACCAGGCATCGGGCGCAGGGATCAGCGCTGCCGCTGTGCTGGCTGTTCTGCCCTATTCACCCTATAAAGACCACGGTCGTATGCCCAGGAAATGGAGCTGGTAGGCCTGCTGTAGAGGATTCAGTATGTGGTGGTAAGTTTGTGTCTGGCCATATATTTCAGCTGGGGGTAGGCAGTCAGGCCCGTCGGAAAGGCTCGATTGCCTGGTTCGCTTCAAAAGCGGTTTTTTGGGCTGCGACGAGACCACTTTCAGTGCATCGTCGCCCCTGATCTGGTTCTGTCGCATCCGTTGCGAGTGCCCCAGCGCGCACTATGTAGTGCGCGCTGCTCAACGAAGACATAGCAGCACATGTGCTCCGGCTGCGCAAACACTCGTATAGACTTGGGCCGGTGCACAGGCGTAAAGCAGCTCCCCATGTTACATGCGCTTGGCACACCAGCCAAATCAATGCATGCATTGGTACACTGCGCGACCTGATGTTGATGCTCGTCATAGGGACACAGCAACCCTCATACACGCACAACCATTCATAGACCATCGCACGCGCACTGTTGCCAATGCGAACAAGGCCCAACTCCTAGCGGTATATCTCCCTTCTCATCTCTCCTACGAACATGCTCCACAAACGATCGCGTCCACCCTACTGACATAACCCCAGTGATTGCCCCATGGCGCGTACTCCTCCAGCGATCATCTTCACGCGTCCATACCATCATCAAAGCCCTACGCTCATCCGGTCTCGAAGTCCGCGAAAAAAACAGCATGCAGATACTGTCGCTCACGTTGCGAGACGAGATCTGATCATGCGTTATGGGGGCTGCTCGGGACGCCTGTAAGCCTCCGCATACACATTTGCCACAATGGATCCATAGTGAGCGGATTCACCCCGCTATTTATAGTAAGTAGGCCCTTCATCCGTCGTTTCCATACTAATCTATCTATGCTGTCAGATGGGGATGGGTGGCGATCAATGCTCACGATATCCATGGTCATGGCGTACCTATCTGCTGGGAAACACGGCGACCTGTACAGTCGACACCCTCTTAACCCATAGGCCTCGGGACAGGCCCGAATATATGGGTTTTGAGGGGTTATGGGCTACGAGAACTTAAGCGCCCTATAAGCGCCCCTGATTAGTCCCAGTTAGCGAGCGCCGGAAAGGCGTCTACTGACCCTTTGAGGGAGCGCTATGGGATTTCGAACAGACTCACCTACCCACAACGTGGTCGGAGCATGGATGGACACTGGGAGGACTCTGGGAAGCATGCATCGAGTATTACAAAGGTTATCGATGAGCGTAATCTCAATGTGAGCCCTATTACCATATGGGTTTTGGGCCCTAGAAAGCTATGGGTTATTGGGTACCAGGGGCCTATGGGTTATGGGGTCGAATTCCCCCTATCCCGACTTGGGAAAGCCAAAATCCTATGGGTTTCGGGAGTTTATGGGTTACCAGGGGTATGGGTTAGGAGGGTGTCGACTGTACTAGATGTTCCTGTCCCTGAGATCTGCATATACAAACTTCCCCCATGCCACCGACCTGTGCCGCTGTCATACGTCCATCTCACAAGAGCGCGCGAAGTCAGCATTGGAAGATAGGATCAATAAGGACCAGCCCACTCCCCACTGCGCTCTTCACACAACCCCTGGTGTCCTGCGCGTCCCGCAACCACCGTACATTGCATTGGCTCCACTTGGCACTCACCTTCCTCGCCATGGACAATGATCACGGTCGTGGTCTGCCGGGCTCGGGATGGACTATGGCGCTTGTAAGTGATCGCGCAAGGTCCTTGTTTGCAAGTGTACGGAGTTATCTCAAAAACACTCTCTTGCATTCTGTAGCACGCAATAACTATTTCAGATGGCAAGACGGTGATGCACCACCATCGGGACGAACAGCCGCCACCTACCTTTGGTCCTGTACAAGATAATGCTCTGCATGTTTACGGACATCACGCGTCGTGGACGCCTGCGCGACATTTGACAACGCCGGCAGTTGGTCACACGCAGTCAAGGATCTGTCCTTGGGCCCCGCATACACGGCAGCAATCTTCAGAACCTTACGACCATGTGAGAAACAGGACCTGGTATTGATGCTAGATGGCAGGAGCGATAAGAACCTGGCTAGCGATTGCGAGTTCCACGGCACTCTTCACTCGCTCACTGCTGTCCTGCGTACGATCCGTCGCCCAGTGCTCTGCATTCCATGGAGTCATCCACAGTATCGAGCAAATCTGCGATGGACGACGATCGTGCTCATCCAAAACACAACGCCAGCCGCTTCCCCGTCGAAGTCTGCGAGAATATAATCGACATGCTTTATTCGTTCTTTGTCGTGGACCGAGTTGAAGATTCTCGTACCCTGCATAACTGCGCCCTCGTGTGCAGAGCTTGGCGTGTCCGCTCCCAGCGTAACCTCTTCTACTCAGTTGTTCTCCACGACCTCCCAGCACTCCAGAAGTTCTCCGCGGTCCTCGACAACAGGCCTCACCTGTGTGACTATGTCCATGAAGTGACAATTCTCGGGGGCACCCTCTATACCACAGCCAGTCCTCTCTCGCTCTTGCCCATCGCCCTCCGTGAGAAGCTTCCCAGACTCCAAAAGCTCACTGTCGTGCGCAAAGGCGATGACTGGTACGCTGAAACGGCTAAACCGGGCACCGTGAAGAGCTTACGATACCTTCCTCTGCATCACCGTTTCAAGCTCTTTCTCTCTGCATTCACGACTGTTCCTCACCTCAACATCTTCAATGTTACATTCCGGTACTTCAGCGACTTGGCCAGGATGATCAACTCCCTTCCAGCGTTGCGAATACTCATTTGCGGCGGCGTGCGGTGCATGTCCCTCGGCCCGATGCCATTGAATATGAAACCGCGAGCCGATGGGATCCATACTCCTGCGCCGCCATTTGCACCAAACCTGCCGGAGCTGCGCCTGGTATGTCCTCTGAAATATGCATGGCACGCATCTAACACCGTTGATCCAAGGTTACGTGGATATACACTGCACCCAGAGACTGGTATCGGCATGTGGGCCGCATCTCAGGCGATTGCTGGTTCCCATGTCCTACCACGATGCAGAGATGATCCATGATCCTGCCCGGTATGTATATTCTGATTCATGCCGATACTGCCCAGTGGCTTTGGCACTGATCTATCACATTAGGAGAGCCCACCACAGAGCATACAGTGTGTATCGACTTGAGCACCTGCACGACGCTCGAGCGATTGACTATGCATCTCGATCGGCGGTTCGTGACTGATGGACAGTCACTCGACAAAATCAAGGCGATGCTCAACTCGCCAATGCATCCAACTCGTTAAATGCTTTGAGTTTAACTCTAGTGCTCGGCAAGGCTTTGCAGACCTTCTTGGTACAATAGGTCACCTCATAGAGACTTCGCTTTGTGAGTCTTCAGCTTCACCAAGCGGGGACGGAGGGCAGGGCAGGAGATTGCAAATACGGATCGACCTAGACGACGGGGAAGATTGGCGAGGTTGGTGGCGGATGCATGTCCTGAAGTACTTTCCGACGTTGGTGAAGTCAAATAGGCTCAGAAAAAACTTCAGACCTAATGAGTTATCAAGCAACATAGTCCTGCACGAGTGTACAAGGATCACTCAATCGCTCTCTGCATTCTACTAATGCGCAATGGCATATGAAAACGGAAAGACAGCACCGCATGACCACCAATGCCGACAACCACTACCTAGCGAACCCGCCCTGACTCATCGATAGTGATAATCCCCTTGTTGACCAAAACTGGCTACTAAATGCCGTTCTAGCTGCTGCTATCTGCGCTGCCATCTTCACATATACTCACAACATCGCAGGCACTGGTGCCATATATACGCGAGCCGTGCATTGTTCGCTCGCACACAATTGAATTGCAAGGCCATCGGCGTTGGAGGAAGGGCGGCGTGTGTTCGGTTGTAGGATTCGGAAGCGAAGCGATGGCAATGAAACGGCTGGGGTAGGAGGCGAAGAGTTAGAAACTTGGTCTGGCGTGGAGGGGTGGATGTGATTGGAAGTTCAGTTGATGTTGGTATTCCACGCGCGTTCTCGATATGTATGATGCGGCTGAATGGATATGCGTCGCGTCAGGCCGTGCCTCGCATGGATTATCGTATCCCAAGCGTGTGCTTGGGACACTCAAATGCGGGCTTGTAGCTCAGGGAACTTGGCCCGGAAGAAAAGGGGCAATGAGTGCGAGGAGAGTATGAGTAAGTGACATTACCGTAGGGATGAAGATCAAGGTATGGGAGGAATTGCAGAACTTGAGAACGCACGCGCTTTGGTGGCCTCTATCACTGTCGGAGTGATCTCTAGCGCATGATCAGGGCCATTGAAGGGTTTACACCGGAGGGAGAGTCAGATGTGCCAGCTTCCTGCCGCCCGCTGCCCGCACATGCGCCATACATGCCGTACAGCGAGTGGCGCGGGGGGCAGTTTATGGGGAAGATCTAAAGGCACCACTCTATTGAGAGCTCGTCGCGACCTCTTCTGTTGTCTTGTCATACACCATCGAGAGGGAACCGCAGTGCATGCTGCCGGGCCGGGAGATCTCTTGGTAGCACTGACAGAAGCGGTACCTTAGGACTGGTGCGTAGACGGTGCACATTGAACGAGCTTATCGGATTGGCACTTACCGCAGGCAAGTTCGAGGCCGTCTGCGTGTTCTATATCGTTCACAAGTCCACCGCGGCCATTCTTGCACACGGCATTGACCGTGCAGACAACTCCCCCGATTGGTTCGCATCTCTGCAAAACCCACTTAATACAATGCAAGGCCGGGAGATCAGTTCTGGCCGTGCAACGAGAGCTGATCATAAACAACACGATCGAGCAATCAACACTTACAGAGGTCTACAGTCGCTCATACCGTACGCGTCGTCCTAAAGAGGCGCCTGCAGGGGGCGGTTAAGGTCATTCTAGGGGATGGGATTTTGGCACTGTCTTGTCTGTCTCGGTACGTGAGTCGGCTCTTCGGACGGACGGACGAGACTTATCGGAGCATGCTTATACATGAAAGCCACAGTCGTCGTGCGCAGCTTCGGAGGATGCGCCGGAGGGAGAGGACTGAATAGGAGGGACGGAGGAGGGCGCGAGGTGAGGCGTAATGCGAGATGGGATGGGATGGGTTGGGCGGGCCATGGAAGATGGAGCATGCGCATATGTGAGCGGGGACAACACTCTCCATATACCGCTTGACTCACCGCTATCCCCGTCTCCCGTCTTCCGTAGACGGTCCGACACTGCGTGTGCCGTGCCCACGTACCCATACGTGGCCGTGCTTGTTCAGCCATGCTCTGTGGCATGCTCAGGACGGTCTGGATCAGTGTGGCAGACGCGCGGGTCGTTTTGTGGACCATGGTGTACATGACGTCGTTGCGAGTGCCATTGAACATTCACGAGCTTGCGAGCTGGATACTTACAGTGAGATCTCGCACTTTGAAACGAGACACGCACGGATAGGGAGCGAGTCTCGATCCTCTCCCTCATCCACATTTTGACAGGGCAGACACGCATGTATTGGAAGCACGAGAGAATCAGATGAGAACGCTGCCTTAAGACGGCACAAAAGCCAGAGTTTGTATTCAGGTTACGCAGAGAGCGAACAAGCAACCTCTGCAAGCGAGACAGGCTGTCGTCCGACACGGGCGCCTCCGTCTGCGTTGCCGCCGATCAGTTTCGCAGCGATCCTGCTTCCCCTGCCTCGGGGACGGTGTAGTCGCATTCTGTCGCATTGTGTATTCGTGAGTGTAGCTCCGACCGGGATCCGGCGAACCCTGGGACATCGCTGACGCGATACATTTGCTGCTGTATAGGTCCACTCGGAGAACTTCCGGAGCGAGGCAGCAGGAACGAGAAGGTCGCATAAGATCATTGAAGGCGGTGTAGCCAATCACATCACGTTCAGTGGATCACTTGTACACCATATATGCGCTATAGGGAAACCTTCAGAGCATGCAAAACACCTGCCGGGAATAACATCTAAGCTATGCGCGAAGGAAGGGTAGAGACGGACACTGATCGCAGAAAGGGTCGGCATTGCGTGGAACATCATGAACGCGGGAATTCTGAACAGTCGGTTACCTGCGGGGGATGAGGCCTCTACGACGCGACCTCTGCGAAGAGGGTTCACGCTGGTAGTGCCGCTGGAACAAAGCATGAAAATAGTCGTCTTCATAGCCTATGGTATGGTGGACGTGACTTGATTCTTGCAGTCCGAGGAATTTCCGGGGCTGCCGAGTGCTGGTTCCCGAAGAAGACTTGAATACGTCCACTCCCCGCAGCGGTGAACTGTCTGCTATAGAGAGTGAGGTGGACCGTGGGTTTGAGGACGCGCTGATCCATTCGAACTGCTGACGAGTGCGGGACCTTGCGAGTCGTGGGGAGACACATGGAGCACCACCTGTGATCGGCGAGCTCGTCTTAGCACTTGATTCAACCTGGCCCTGACGTCGTCGGCGCCCTCTGTACCACAACCCAGCCCAGTGCGGCCGCCTTTGCATACGACCTCCAACGAGCGAACAACTCGATCGCGGAGGCTCCCATTAGTACGCAACTTGTTCTGCCCAAACGGTGAGTGCTGCTGTTAAATGATTTAATCGAGTCAATACGAGAAAACAACCTCTCCGAAACGCACGTCTGTCTACCTCGTGCTAATTGCGCTCAGCCTCGCGGGTGTCCGAAGTCGTTCTCAGGAGTGGGGTGTCGGTACAGGCCCGTGCGTCATGGGCGCCTGCGCGACATTCGGCTAGTCACACGCAGTCTGGGTACTGTCCTTGGGTCCCACATACACAGCAGCTATCTTCTGAACTTTACGACGATCTCGAGAGTAGCACCTGGAGGTGCTAGATGGAAAGGGCGGTAAGAACTCAGGTGGAGAAAGTGCCATTGCATTCTTCCCTCACTCACTACCATCCCGCGCGCCACATAGTACTGACTAGAGTCTGTCGCCTACTCCGCATTCCATGGCCCCATCTACAGCTTCGAGCGAATCTGCGATGGATGACGACATTTGTGCTTACTCCAAACACACCGCCAGCCGCTTCCCCATCGAAGTGTGTGAGAACATCATCGACATGCTTTACTCGGTCTACCTCATAGACCAAGTCGAACATAGTCGCGCCTTGCATAGCTGCGCCCTCGTATGCAGAGCTTGGCGGGTCCGCTCCCAGCGTAACCTATTCTATGCGGTTGTTTTCCACGACCTGGCAGCCATCGAAAAGCTCTCCACTGTCCTCGACAACGCGCCCCATCTGTGTGAGTATGTCCACGAAGTGACACTCATCGGGCGCACCCTTCATACCACAGCCAGTCCTCTCTCGCTCTTGCCCATCGCCCTCCATGGGAAGCTCCCCAAGCTTCAAGCGGTCACTATTAAACATGTTAGCGAACATGAAGATTGGTACCCTAGCGCATCTGAATTGGAATCCAAATCCACGAAGTCCCTACAATACCTTCCTCTTCATCCCCGCTTCTCGCTCTTCTTCTCTGCATTCACATCTCTTGCGACCCTTCAAATCTACGAAAGCACATTCCGGCATTTCAGCGACTTCGCCAGGATGATCGATTCCCTTCCGGCATTGCAAATCCTCATGTGCATCGAGGTGCGATGCATGGCCCTCGGCTCTCTGCCGTTCAGCATGAAACCGCGAGCCGATGAGGTCCATGCTCCCGCACGGCCATTTGCACCGAACCTGCAAGAGCTGTTCCTGGTACGTACTCTGCGATACGCACACACACGTCTGACACCATTCAACCAGTTCGACATGGACGTACGCTGTGTCCAACGACTGGTATCCGCGTGTGGGCCGCAACTCAGGCAACTGTCGGTTACCATGCCCTTCTGCCATGATGCAGAGATGGTCCTGCCCGGTGCGTGCATTCTGCCTCAAGCCAAGGGAGTGTTCGCGCTTACGTACCATGTCAGGAGACCCCGCCACGGAGCACACAGAGGGCGTCGACTTGACCCTCTGCACAACGCTCGAAGGACTGGACATTTGGCTGTTTCCGCATTTCGTGACCGACGGGCAGTCGCCTGACAAACTCAAGGCGATGCTCAACTCGTGGGAGTCCGATTCCGAAGGTCCTCTCCGACGCATCTATCTCCAACCATCGATCCCAAGCATCTTTACTCGTCAAGACTTCGCAGACCTTCTCGGCACAGTGGGTCGAGCCATAGAGGAGGTGCTTCATGAATCGTCAGCACCACCGAGCGCGGACGGAGAGGTTGGCGAGCAGGGCGGGAGATGGCGGATAGTCATCCACTTAAACGACTGGGAAGTCTGGTTAGATTGGTGGCGGGCACATGTTCAGGAGTGTTTTCCGACATTCGCGAGATCTCATGGGCTCGGGATGTACTATCGCCCTCGTAAGTGATCAAGCAACACCTCCATTTGCGAGTGCAGGAGGATATCTCAATCACGCTCTTGCATCTTACTAGCAGCAAACTTTAACGAGACCAAATGGAAAGACAGCAACGCCCTACCACCAATGCCGATAACCAATACCTAGTGAACCCAAGGTAAGAATATCCTTTTCGACCAATATTGGCCACTGAGCGTCGTTCCAGCTATTGCTGGCCGCGCCGCCATCTTCACACGTACTCGCGACATCGCGGGAAGTGAGACGACATGTATCGAACCGTACATTTTCCGCTCACACTTGATCACACATTCTTCGGGTGGGAGGTAGCAGAGTCCGTTTGGGTGTAATATTAGGGTGCAGAGAGATCGCAAGGTGGATGCCCGAGGTAGGGAAATGAAGAAGCGAAGAGGCATGGAAGTGGTTTGACATAGAGGGGTGGAGGAGGCTTCGCAAGTTTGGTCGATTCGCGTTTCACGTTCCGTCTCGATATGTAATCTGTGGCTGAATGAATGTGCGTTACGTCAGGCTGCGCCTTGCGTGGATCATCTCGAGTACGGGGTACTCAACTGTGCGGTTGTGCGTGTGCAATACCTAGACTGGCCGCGATGGATACTCGAGGCGACGATGAACCAACCCACTCGGGCTCGAGGAGCGCACGCCTGGATCCACGAAAATCGTTTGTGTGATTGAACGGGCGGGGAGCATACGCGGACTTGCAGGGAATCGGCTTGAGGGATTGCTGAAGGTTCTCAGTAGTTGGACTACCCTTCCGAGTCGTAGCGAGAAAGTCGAGAGATAGACGAGTAGTGTTGCTAGGAATCGCAGGCACAGGTTCTCGAGCGCGTACACGGGCAAAGCACTTGGCTTCGTAACCGGACACAGCCAATAGGGGTAGTCAGAGTGCACGATTACGGGGCGATTCTGTGACGATTCTGAAGGTCGACTCTGGAGGCGATTTTGTTCTCAGAATCGCGATTCTGCTGTCCGCGATTCTGCCTCCCCAAAAGTCCTCCCCAGAATCGCGACCATAATCGTTCCCAGAATCTTCCTCCGGTATGGGCTGGTCAGAGTAGGCCGCGATTTCGACACCATTCAGATATTCAGAATCGCCGCAGAATCGCTTGGAGAATCACTTCAAAATCGCGCACTCTGATCACCCCTAATGTAGCATGGATGCCGCAGTTTGGCGGTAATGTCCATGAGTGAGGCCGGATAGAATGGGCGCGGTGCCCGGATATGCATAAGTGTGCCGGCGAATCCTCGAAATTAACCGTTGTGCTTACCTTTCCCGAAGGAGGTCCTCTCAACGGACCAACTACGTCACCCACCCCTGCGCCGTTGCTATCGCCAGTACTCTCGTCGCAGGTATAGAGGCACCGGTCGAGCAAGCGTTTCCAAAGGGTTGGGAACTTGAACTCCGTGTGGGCCTAGAATGAAGCCAAATGACGTTCAGTAAAGCACGAGGTTGGTCACTTCTTGTGGGAGAGGAAGATGTCGGTAAACGTCACTGCTGTCATGCGCACCACGCGGAGAGGGGATGGGCAATGCGCATGCGTCCGAGTTTTATTGGCGACGCCGTCGAATCTGGTTGAACGTTGGTCGTCGTACGCGTGTGGCTTGACAGAGCAACTGAGGTGGGGTCATCGGAGCGGCTATGTCTGCGTTGTTTGATGGCGGATCGCCATGATCCCCTTTCTTCCTCCCTTCGTGTTCTAAGTATCCGAGGTTCGCTGCGGTTGCTTCGTCCGCACAGAACGACGCATTAGGTCCTCGTGATAGTCGGACTCCCCTGGGGCTGTATATCCACCGCGTGGTCACTCCTTCCCCCCATCACCCTCGATAACCGCCTGCGTTGCCAGAGCCCCCTCCGCGCCATATATCCACCCCGGTCCACCGCGCGGCGCGAGATGTTCCTCGTCGATCCCTCCAGCCTCTCGCCCGACCTGTGGGGCACGATGCGGTCTACTATGCAGCTCCTCCACCAAGGCCTCCTCTGCTTGACCGCCTTCCTTGCGTCCACCAATGTCCTGTCCAACGGCGCTCGTGGCGTGCAGGGTGTCGCAGGGCAGTATCTTCTCGGTTTAGGTGAGTACCTCCTTCTCCTCACACGCTTTCCTGTGCGGTACACTGAGCGTCGTTGGCGCATAGGTATCGGCGACATTACTGGGTAGCTATGAACTCACCCTACTCAATGCTCTGGCTGCGCGCTCAGGCATGACCGTCATTAGACCTGTCGTAGAGACCAACATGATGGTGTGTGCATCCTTCCGTAGGGGCTCGGGGCTGGTGATGGGGATGGCGAGTAAACGAATATGCTGACGATGGTCTCAGGGATACGCCAGCCTTGCGCAGACTGACACAGGCCTCCATTTACGCCAGCGCAGCCGCGCCTGGATCGTGGCCGACGCGAACAACGACACCAATCGCGTCGTCTTCATCAATGCCGGTACGTTGTCACTCGTCTTGCCCGATCGCCATTTAAGCAGGCTTTCGTACCACACACTCATCTTTTTCAATCCTATCATTTGTAGACATCGCGATGGGCGACACCGGCGTTCGCCGCTCGATCGTCGCTGCCCTGTCCGCCGAGTTCCCCGAGTACTACAACAACGCGAACATCGCGCTTGTCTCGACACACCAGCATTCCGGCGTTGGGGGTTACCTCGAGAACCTCCTCCCTCAGGTTACTGCGCTTGGGTATGTCAAGCAAGCTGCGGACGCGATTGTCAACGGGACAGTCCTTGCTGTCCGGCGCGCCCATGAGAGCTTGAAGCCGGGAAGCTTGAGCTTGGGGAACACGACGGTGGTGGACGGCAATCGGAACAGGAGCCCGAGCGCGTATTTGGCGAACCCGGCAGAGGAGAGGGCGAGGTACGATTATGACCAGGACAAGGACCTGACGCTGCTGCGGTTCGATGACGAGAGCGGGAACGCGAGAGGGTTCTTGAGCTTCTTTGCGGTGCACGGGACGAGTCTATATGAGGTGAGCTGGGGCGGGCTGAGGGGGCCGAAGTAGTCCGGGCTGATAACGTCGCGTGGCAGAACAACACGTTGGTGAGCAGCGACAACAAGGGCATGGCGGCGTACCTGTACGAGCATCTGGTCGAGCCGGACTCCATGCCCGGAAACAACACGTTCGTCGCTGGATTCACGCAGTGTACGTACATCGCTTCAACTGAATATGTGCCTTCATTGCTGACACTGTGATGCAGCAAACGTCGGGGACACCAGTCCGAACACGTACGTCATTCTATGGCTATCCCCCTTCATGAGGTGACTCACTGCTTGTACAGGCTCGGGGCTTACTGCGAGTCTCCCGGTGAAGCTTGGGACGGCCAGCTGTGCGAATTCGAGCACTCTACCTGTGGTAACAAGACCGAGGACTGTCACGGCCGGTATGTCTGTTTCCTCTCATCCGCGTCCGTTGATCTTCTCGGCTCACGCCAACTTCTGTGCGTTATCTACAGCGGGCCAGGGTTCCGCACCTCGGACTTTGAGTCAAACAGAATCATCGCGCAGCTACAAGTTGACGGCGCGCAGACGTTGATGGGCCAGACCCTTGCGCCGGTGACGGGGGCGGTCAAGTACGTGCACACGTACCTGAACATGTCATACCGCCAGTTCGAGCTCCCGAACGGGACGACGGTGCAGACGTGCCCGCCTGCTATGGGATACTCGTTCGCTGGTGGGACTACGTACGTCACACAAGCGGCTCCGTTTCCCGCCCACTTCTCTCAAGCTGATTCCGATCGATGGCATTCAGCGATGGCCCGGGAGCGTTCGACTTCATCCAAGGGGACAACTCATCGAACCCGCAAAACCCGTTCTGGGAGCTCGTCAAAGGCGCGGTAACGCCCCTCCCGCCCCAAGAGCAAATTGACTGCCAGTTCCCGAAACCGATCCTGCTCGACACCGGGTACGCGCACACGCCCTACGACTGGTCGCCGAACACGGTCGACATCCAGATGCTCCGGGTCGGCAACCTCGTCATGCTGATCATGCCTGGGGAACTCACGACCATGGCTGGCCGCCGCATGCGCGAGGCGCTCCGCACGAAGCTCATCTCGGAGGGCGTGCTGGGCGATGATGCTTACGTCGTTATCGCCGGCCCGGCGAACACGTACGCGCATTACGTGACGACCCCGGAGGAGTACGCCGTGCAGCGGTACGAGGGGGCGTCGACGATCTTCGGGCAGTGGACGCTCAACTCGTACATCGACAAGTACGGGAGCCTGGTCGGGTACCTTGCGGACAACGCGACCGGAGAGCAGCCGCCGTCGGACCCGGCGCCGCCGGACTTGTCAGGCAAGGCGATCTCGCTGCAGACGGGGGTCGTGTTTGATTTTGCGGGGATCGGGAAGGCGTTTGGGGACGTGTTGACGGATGTGAGGAACGCGAGTGCGCCGTACAGCGCCGGCGAGGCTGTGATTGCGACTTTCGTCGGGTGAGTAAGGATCGGGGCCCTGTGCAAGTTCAACATGATCGCTGATTGGACTTGCCTGTGTCAGCGCCAACCCAAGGGTGAGTGGAACAGGATGATGAACCTCTGTGTATGCCTGGAAGGTGACGGTGGCCCCTATAGAACAACCTCCGCCTCGAGCAGACGTTCCTTTCCGTGGACCAGTTCGTGGACGATCAGTGGAAGTCTGTCCGCTCCGACTCACATCCGTCGACGACCTATCAGTGGACCAGGACGGACACCGTACGTCAACTGCCTCCTACATACTCGGTCCTTGTTCTGGAGCTGACCATGCGTCAATGCAGGTTCTTGGTACCAGTACGGTCAACATCACTTGGGTCATTGAGGACGGAACACCTGGTATTCCACGTTTTGTTTTTGGCTTTCAGACGGTGTACTGATTGTGACCTACAGCCGGAACGTACCGCTTGACGTACTTTGGTGACTACAAGCCTGTCATTGGCAGCATCACGCCGTTCGTGGGCCATTCCTCGAACTTCACGATCTCTGCATGATTTCTGTTGTTACGCGCATCACCTCTTGTAATTCTGCATTACCCCGTGTGTGGGATGTTGCGACACGTATCGGTGTTTGACGCTATGCTTTGAGGACATCTGGAGTGCACTGTCGGACTGCGTTTCTGGTAGTAGGTCCACTCCAATACATTGGAACGATCTTTTGTTCTTGCCGGGCGTTGGATCGGCATTTATGAAGAGGCAAGATGTCGAATAACTCTGCGTTGAGCCTGCCCCACGCGGATCTGTAGAGCGCGACAGTGCTTTGCCAGGGGCTAACTCTTCATCCCGATCCTTACGCCGGTTGCATGCCAAGCTCCTGGTGGTGAATGTGGTGAGTTCTGACTTGCCTGCGTGCCAAACCTGGTTGAGCGGACAATAATATTCATATAACAAGCGGACTTTGGTACTATCATGCAAGAAACGACTAAGCTCGACGTTGAGTGCAGGCAGAATCCCAAGCGCATGAGCAATCTCGGTGACACTTGGCGCGCACATCTACAGCCAAACCTCGGTCAGCTGTTTGCGTGCCGTCTCCAACCGCTCGCGCTTCTTCAGGAGCTCTTCCCTACGCTCTGCGACATGACGCGGTTCCTTTATGTACTCCGCACATTGCGCGAGGGCGTCTCCTCCTCCGATCCCGAGTCCTTTCCGCAAAGCCTTGTCCAATGCCTGGTCGCGGTCCAGCCCTAGAATCAGTTCGTAGTCGATGGTGTTGGGAATATTATCAACAAAACGCTTATGAGCGACTACCCAACCCCACCGGATGTGTGGTTGGTCAGAATCAGAAGGAGCGAGGGGATGGTTGCGGCTCGCACCTTGGAAGTACGCTCGGACGCTCGCCATGATCTCGATCGCGGGATCGTACGGGTCGGGTGGCAGGAGCTTTGCCAGATCGCCCGGCCGTGTGCCGTGAATGTCCATCTTGGCAAGCCCCGCCATTACCTCGCCAACGGCTGCCCTGAAGGAAGGGCCATTGTCACGAAGGCGGCTCGTGAAGGAAGCATGAGGATCATCTTCGTCATCATCGTCTTCGTCGTCATCATCCTCTGACTCCGTGGGCGGACGCCATCCTTTGTAGTGACTCAAGAAGCGATCGTGGTAATCGGAGTAGTAGGCCTCGTTGAGGGTTCGGGGGCGCGTCTCGAGCGCAATAAACCATCGGATGCGCGCAATCGTCTGCTCTGCGGACGTGGCGAGGAAGTCCGTGGTGATCGTCCTGCAAAGGTTGTATTCCATGGTGAACAATGAGATCCACAAGCACGATGAGAAATACAAACATGATGCGACTCTGCAAGAGGGGGTACTGAGCGAAGTGCTCGTTCACAAGCTGCCTCACATGCTTCACTAAGATGTTGTACTCTTCGCGGAAGAGCGTCTCCGCTGGACCCTGCCAGCCTGCGATGATTGCTGTGATGTACTCTTGCGTTACCACAAACGGGATGTGGCCTGGAAGCTCTCGTATTCTCGCCCTGGCAGTTCATGAACAGTCAGACGAGATCAGGGCAGTATCGAGTGCAGCGCTTACTCATGAGCACGTTTCATGACATCGTCGATAAAGATCGCACGGCTGTCGTTCTCAGGGATGTACGTATATCCTTCGTTCTCTAGGAAAGCCGCCGCTACAAACTTGTGAGCATGCGGGTTCTGACGGGGCAGGGTATGCTCATAGGGGCGAAAGTCCGGCTCGGTAGCGCGGATAGCCTTTCGGAAAGTGTCGCAGGGAGGTCTGATAGATTGGAGGAGACCGTCAGCTTTGGTCGTGCCTTCAAGGTATCGTCCGAGGCTTTTGGAGAAGGTTGACAGAAGAAAGAGGACTTCGGACAGGACGTCCGACGAAGGTGGTTTCGGAAGCTGAGTCAAACGTTCGTCTGTCGCACTGAGAAGTTTGTGCAGCTCCTCCTGGATGATGGGAAGCCTGTGGATAACCACATTAGGTCTGATATAGTGTGTCATAACGCAATCGTACCGCTGAGAGATACAATCGGACAGCACGTCACTCAAACGTTCGACAAGCTTCGTCGTCCCCAAGCGGTTCTGGTACTCGAGGTCAAGGATATTCCACGGCGAGCTGGTGGCGAAGAACTCGCGCTCTTTTTCGCGCGCTTCAGCCCAAGTGATCCCTGTGGCGATGGCACGAGAGTCAGGTTGTTTGACACTGAACCAGCCATGTTCAAGCGGTTCATCCTCGTTCCTGATATAGCGCAACCAACTACCCTCTTCGCCTGAAGGGATGCGATCTGGCTTCGTGAGTACACCTGCATAGCATGCATAAGCACATAGTCGATTGATATCATGGTACGTTGCGCGAACCTATCGTTCGCAATCCGTGTGGATCGTACTTCTTTGCGAGCTGATGTGCTCCTTGGTTTTGAAAATCAGCTGAGGGAGGAGAGTGTTTCGGGTCAGACACCTGAAAGCGATGAGATTATGTCGCCTTACTCTCGCATGCAACCGTAAGCAGAATTATGCAGCTTGGCCTCGAGATATACAAGGACACCAAATTCTTGACGAGCTCGATGTCGCCCTCGTTGCCGCCAGTACCCACGCTTGCAATCAACCCTGCGATACAGAAGTAAACCCGAGTCCGATTTGTATCCGCATAGCCTCGCACCAGGCAAGTCACAGAACGACAAATCCTGTACGTCCTCGCCGCTGATCTGAAGGGAGACCGAATTAGTAGAGAACGTGAGCTCCCGACCAGAGAGGTCTGGATCATCGTCTTCCAAGAACCGGCGATAGTCGATGCTCGGGTTCAGAATCGCGCGTTGCGCCCGCCTGATGCGGTCCTCGACCTCGTCCTTGTCGTGAATGACGTCCCCAAATTGCTCGTTCCTCGGATGCCCCAGGGGCTTCCCATCCTTGTCCGTGAGGATGTGGAGAGAGACAATGCATTTCCACGGCTGGTCAGAGTACGACAGGCGACATTCTGTCGGACAGCTGCAACGTCATGTCAAGACTGCGCTGTCGAGAGGACACCATCCGGACGAACCGAGTGCAGGTGCCGCTGGCGCGCGGGAGGGTGATGCCGGATATTGACTCGATCAATGAGGACTTTCCCGCGGACTGGGATCCGACGACCGCTATGACCGGCAGATCAATATCGACCTGTACGCTGAGCAACGAGCGACAGCGGTCAGAGAGTGATGACTGCAAGATAGGACTGCCACGAACCCGGTGAGATGAAGGGCGTTGACGACGTCGAGCATCCGCCGCCGGCGCAATGCGTAGAGGGAGTCAGGCAGGCCAACCTCCGCTAGCTGGTCTGGGGTATCTGTGGAGGAAAGCATTGGTAGATAGGCTTGTAGTTGAGTACGACAGACACTGTGGGACCTCTATTTATGCGACTCTTTGGCTCTCATGCGTGCCGCAGCACGACTCCCTCGTAAGTGGAAGTGGAGATAAGGGTCGAAGCGCACTTCTGAGCCTGATTGCTGTCGCAGGATTCTTACCGCAGCTGACTGGTTTTCCTTGTCGAGTGGACTGTCACGTCTGAAAAGGGCTGAGGAACTACATCTCTTGAGCTATAGAATCCGACACCTGTCGCGCACACCGTACTCTCCTTGGAAATGTTCAGTCTCCTTTCATGATGTAGCGACGATCAGCAAAGTCTCGAGAAGCCGCAGCCACGCCACAGCAGCACAAATTTCCTGCGTGCTAAGGCCCTCTGTCTGATGTGAATGAAAGGGTAAGGGAGAGCCTCTGGAAAGGGATCGAGTGTACTGTGAACACTGCTCCGCCAACTGGTACGCCCACTTCATCCTCCCACAGGATCCACACCAAGTTGACTGAGCGCGGGGGTTCCTTAGCCCCGGGAAAGCCACAGAAAGGAAAGGCCTAGCCGCAGAAAGGAACGACTGCAGTCCTACTGCCTTCTCAGCAGGCACGATGCCCCTCTATTCTCGGACAAGCACTTCTGTAACGACGTCAAGTAGTATATGCATGCCCTGCGATGGGAGCGGCTGTAAGCTTTCTTTGGATTCCCCGATGCGGACCCCACAACCCCAGACGCGCACGCTGCCTGGATGATACGCAGATGCAATTCAGCTCACCTAACAGCGGCCATGCTCTATCATGAACCAAAATCCGAACACATCTCTGACGCATACAAGCAAGATCATGAGAAGGGGGGACATACCGGGGTGTTGATGATCTTCCAGCACCGTTCGAGTTTGCGACAGTACATGCGCGATTGCTTGCAGCACACCCCGACTACCGTTGGGTGTAGAGGCGGTGGACGCAAGAAAGGCACTTGAGGAGCGGAATTCCTGGTGTGGGAGGCAGATACGGTATTATCTGGTGACGCGAGTGGCTGTTGCATCTGACGTAAGCAGAAGTGAAGAGGAAGGGCGCTTGATCCAGCGGCTGCAGATGACTGCAAGCACGACCAGTCAGTCGCCCTGCAGAAACGCCAACGCCAACCAATCGGGGTGTTGTCTGTACGGTTAAGACTGTATGCAAGAACAGCTGTCGCGGACGCCTTGACGACGTGGAGGACGCAGACGGTGTTGGACTCAATAATGGTAAGTGCCGACCCGATAAGCCCGCCACGGCACCCATCCCACGTCCTACGCGTTCGTCAGCCATGCCAGGAGCTCGCTAGGTTCATACTTCGCAGATCCGGGAGCCTGCACTGCGCCTCTTCTCCGATATTGCAGGAGAAGACAACAGAACAAGGACGTGTGGCAACTCCAGGTCATCCCACCGCCCTCACGGCTTGCTCCATCGCAGACAGGTTACATCTGAGGGCAGCGAGAGCGGATGCTTCTGAAACCCTTCCTCCGGAGTCAACTCTCTAAAGCCTCCGATTGTGCGATAGATCACTCCGGCAGTGATGGAGGCTACCGAGGCAAATCTTGCGGCGCTCACGCCGTCTTACTCCCTACGGCAACGCCGCTAGCTCCCTCCCCTGCGCTACAAATCCACAGTTTAGTATCCCGAACTCACGATGATCCACGCGAGGCGCAGCCGGATACGACGCACATCCATTCAGTCATAGCATATCGAGTCCGCACGAGTAACGCGAACGTTGACCGAACTTGCAAACTGTCCCTACCCCTCCACGTCAAACCGCTTCCGTAACCCCCTTCGTCTCTGTGTCCCTACCCTGGATTCCTAATGAAATATCTCCACCTCCTATGGTCTTACACCCATTCTGTCCTTTCGCCTACCATGTGATCGTGCGATTGGGTGCGAGATGACAATGTACGGCTTGTGTACATGACGTCTCAGTTCCCGCGATGTTGTGAGTACGTGTGAAGACGGCAGCGCAGCTAGCAGCAGCTGGAACGGCATTCAGTGGCCAATATTGGTCGCCAAGGAGAGTCTTACATGAGATGAGTCCAGGGCGGGTTCACTAGGTAGTGGTTGTCGGCGTTGTTGGCATTACATCGCTATCTTTCCATTTGTACAAGTCATACGGTGCTAGTGGGATGAAAGAGACCGATTGAGTGATCCTCTCAATGTGTCAATGTTCAGTGTGACGATGGTGCTTGATAACTCACGAGGGTTGAAGGTCATCGTGAGCCCATTTGACTTCGCGAATGTCGGAAAGCACTTCTGGACATGTGTCCACCACCAACCTCGCCATACTTCCCAATCATATACGTCGACCCATACTCGCCATCTCCCGCCCTGCTCGCCAACCTCTCCGTCTGCACTCGGTGGTGCAGAAGAGTCATGGAGCAACTCCTCCAGGACTCGACCCACTGTAGCAAGAAGGTCTGTGAAGCCTTGCCGCGTAAAGTCTTGTTCATAGAAAGGTTGCAGATGGACGTTTTGGAAAGGAAGTTCGGAATCCCATGAGTCGAGCATCGCCTTGAGTTTGTCGAGCGACTGCCCCTCAGTCACAAGCTCCGGATCCAGCCAAATGTCGAATCGATCGAGCGTCGAGCAGAGGCTCAGATCCACGCCCACTGTGGACTCCGTGGTGGGGTCTCCTGATGTCATACGTCAGTGCGAAAGCCAGCTTGGAAATGTCACCATGAAGCAGAATCAACACACCAGGCAGGACCATCTCGGCATCGTGGAAGAGGGGCATACTGACTGCCAATTCCCTGAGACGTGGTCCACAAGCGGATACCAGTCTCTGGACGCAGTGTATGTCCACGCTCCACTGGGTGAATAATTTTAGATGCATGCCATGCATATTGCAAAGTACATACCAGGCGCAGCTCCTGCAGGTTTGGTGCAAATGGCCGTGCAGGAGCATGAATCTCATCGGCTCGCGATTTCATGCTGAACGGCAGAGGGCCGAGGGCCACGCATCGCACCCGGGTGCATTCAAGTAGTTGAAAGGCCGGAAGGGAAGTGATCATCCTGGCGAAGTCATTGAAGTGCCCAAATGTGATATCCACGATATGGAGTCGAGAAACCGTCGTGAATGCAGAGAAGTAGAGCGCGAAGCGTGGATGAAGAGGAAGGTACTGTAGGGACTTCGCGGACTCCGATTCAGACGCGCTGGGGTACCAGTCCTCGTCTTCGCAAACACGAATTATAGTGACCTCTTGGAGATTAGGGAGCTTGCCACGGAGGGCAATAGGCAAGGGCGAGAGAGGACTGGTTGTGGTATGAAGGGTGCGCCCGACGAGTGTCAGTTCATAGACATAGTCGCACAGATGGGGCGCGTTGTCGAGGACAGCGGAGAACTTCTGGAGTGCTGGCAGGTCGTGGAGAATCACTGAGTAGAATAGGTTACGCTGGGAGCGGACACGCCAGGCTCTGCACACGAGGGCGCAGTGATGCAAGGTGCGAGTATTTTCAAGTCGCTCTACGATAGGGAGCGAGTAGAGCATGTCGATGATGTTCTCGCAGACCTCGACGGGGAAGGGGCTGGCTTTGTGGTCGGAATGAGGACGATTGCCGTCCATCGCAGATTCGCTCGATACTGTGGATGACTCCATGGAATGCAGAGTAAACGACAGATCTGGGATGTTAGGAGCGAGTGAAGAGTTCAATGGAAATCGCAATCACTGTTCAGGTTCTTATCGCTCCTGCCCTCTAGCGTCAACTGCGGGTGCTGTTTCCCAGATCGTCTTAGAGTTCAGAAGATAGCTGTTCGATATGCGGGATCCGAGGACACTGCGTGTGACCTGGCAGCCGGCGTTGTCGAATGTCGCACAGACGCCCATGACGGTCGTTCTCGGTGTTGGTCATCAGCAAATGTGCGAAACCGTGCCAGCGGCAATGCCACGCGTGCCCAGAATTGTAACGCCAAAATTGGCAAGCAGGGGATTGGAATACATGAGCCCGCCATTGTCAACCTTGGCGGGGCGAGGCGATTTATAAGGCCGTCGGGGACACTGATAGCAATGACATTGCATACAATAGGCTCGCCATACATATATCATCCAATAGCTATTATTTGACATGCGTACAGAAATACAACCATATGTGCACAGGCCCAGGTGATACCGGAGGCCTCTACATTCGCTGTCGCTCAAATTGCCGCGCGTTCAGTGCAGGCACAGCGTTGAATCCTTCGCCCGCGGCAACACTCTACCACCTTGCCCGTCACCACTACCACCATCTCTCGTCATGTACCGCTCTCTGCTGGCGCGCTTCGACCAGTTCTAAGTCTCTCTCCTGCCAGATCCATCTCACACTCAGTCTCCTTCAGCCCCCCAAGACCACGACTACTCGCATGACCAGCGCATGATCAGTGTCTGACGCTACTGCGTCACCATCCAAGTCATCCATGCCTCCATCAAATGCGATTGCGAACACCATTTCCTCCGAAGGTGGGTAGGAGGACGTTGTTGGGACGATCAAAGAAGTAAGTGTCGTCTCCTCGAAAAGCATATCGACGGTGCGCGGTCACGGTTGTCCTGGCCGCAAGAGCGTTGGGTTAGGGTCAAGGTAGCAGATCGTAGCCCAGCTGCCATACATTGGCACGCGTGATGTCATAGCTCACGACCTGTCATGGTCTTTGTCGTTTCCTCAAAAGCCGGGGCGAGCACGCAGATAAGTCGTCGCTCCTTTCCTTGCCTCTCCCACCATCCAGCTCATCACCTGCTCAAACAAAATCTGCTAGTGCGGACCTGACTGGACCACTTGCTATAACGGCAAGCAGACTATCGTTGCACTCCAATCGTATGGTCTCGCGCGCGCCACGACCGTTACACTTACGACATTTGTGTAGACCCTCGTACTGACTGTACTGTACTTAGCAGCTCGGGTGTTTGCCTTATGACGGTCAGTCGTGCTGCCTACTCTCTACCAGCTGCCGTTCGTGCCGATGCTGCTCATGTCCTTTGCAGCGCATTTCTTGCGAGGACAATGGACGCCGCTGCTGCTCACGCGCCACTGGTCACTCATCATTCGCGTGTTCTACTTGGCCTTGACTACTGTCAGTATCTGGGAATTGGCGGAGAGCGTGTTTGACTTCACTGTACCGGAGGTTCGTACTGACCATGATTCACTGAGAACTCGTGCTAACAGTCAGGTACATTTCATCTGGGTTTCTGCGCATACAGCTGACACCCGCCTTGCATTGGTCTCTGGCATCATGTCTATGGTCGCGTACCTCAAAACTTTGCGTACGCCGAGCTGCGCAACCCTCCACCCTCCTCTCAGGACACTCCTCCTCTGCACCTCGGTTATCAAGACTGCGCAGTCCTCCCGGTTCCATGCCGCGCTCGACGTGCTCGCCTCGGACGGCCCCTTGGCCACTGCGGTGTCTGAGACAGCCGAAGCCGGAGCGTTGCAACTCCTGGAGCTCTCCCACTCTGTGCTGCCATCGACCCCGTCAGCCTATGCAAGCGCGATGATCAAGATGGCAAAGAAGGCAGAGGAGAGCATTGTGCGGGTTATCAGCGAGACCAAGGGCATTTGGCACGAGGGCGTCGGGAAGATAGTCCCGCGACTTTGTCATATTATAGTTAGCCTAATCTATTTTCATTGGTTTTCGCATATTTTCTGTGCGTGGTATCGTGTCAAAGTGTCCCACGGTTTGCCTGCAACAGACCTTGACCATATATATGATGGCGATGTCATGGGAACTCCCAGCTCTCATGATAATCCCTGGCCGAGCAGGCCCATGTGTTCCAGTGCGAGCTTGTGAGTTGCAATGACAGCGCGACAGACTATAGTGATCACAAAAACTAAGCTCTCATATCTAACGCCAATACAACACTAACATTGTCAAGACTGGGGTTACAGTGAAAGGTTATATAGCCACTCCTTATATTGCCATTATAACCCGCATTACAACGGTTGAACATTTTTGCTGATGGTCTTGACTGCGGCCATCGTCTTCAGCTATGGATGGTATACTACACGTCCGCAAGCCTAGACCCACGGCGCACGTGAAAGCAGGCCAAATGTCGCGACAGCTCACTCCAGCTGGTCACCAGCTAGTCCTACCTGCTCCGCTCGTCTTGCGTTGAACGTTCCCATGGCCATTCTTCTTCGTCTCTCCTCCTGATTGGGTCTTCCTCAGCACTTTATTTCCGCCAGCATGCTCCTTGATGTCCGTCTCGCTCTCCACGCACTCTGAATGCAAACTTCGGCTCGTGCATTGTCTTCATCCAACTCTCCTGCACTTCTCCACACCAAGTCCGCCCTGTCGAAACGTGGAAGTAGGAAGAGGAGCGAGACTCACCGTCTATGTTCGGGACATACAAACGTGTGCGATCCTATGTTCAAACACCCAGCTGACCAAGTTCGCTGATTTCGAACAGTGCTCCTGGCAATGTCACGCCCAACATGATTCACGGGGCCACAGATCTTTAGCCCGCCGAATCGAGCCACATCGTCGGAAGCACTCGACGTGGACAGGGCCAACAAGCGCAGCTATGTCTGGGTTCGACCGCTCACAGATCGCAAGAAATGGGAGCAGTGGTGAGTCGTACAGTCTGTGGAGAGCGATCACATACGCGTGCGCTCCTCCACGTACAATACTATGGTCCGATCTTCCGGTCCAACCCGTCCTATCCCACTTCACATCGCACCGTCTCCATGAAGCCTCCGTCCATCGTCACTGGTCCTCGCTTGCCCGCGCATCCTGCGCGCGAAGCCGCGCTGAATGTCTGCAGCACTACTATCAAACACATGTAGTGCAGCCTGTCCTGCAGTAGGCCGCGGTCATCTGTTCGAAACCAACATTGCGCAACGGGCCAGACGACCCTGTCCCGTGACTTCCTCCCCCCAAGGCCAGTTCAGCCGTAGGGCGCAGATGAATTCGAGCAGGTTTGGGACGGCGCACACGGCGAGGGCGAACGTATGCATCCGCAGACACCTCGGTGAGTGTGTTCGTGATATGATCGCATCGATCCTCATTGACACTCACCTCGTGATACATGCACAGTACTCACTCTACGTCCACCAGTCACAAGGCTCGGCATTCGTCAGCCCTACCAAGAGATCTTCGGGTCCAGGTTGCTTGGGCGCAAGAGCTTGCACTGCGCCTTGCTCACCGATGGTGACAAGCACAAGACGACACGAGAGGTCATGCTGAGAGCTTCCGATGGATTCACGCCTACAGACGGTCCCTGGACGCTGCCATCCACATAGCTCCCTGCTCTGTAGATATGTCGTTTCTGTGGGTAGCAGACCACTTTCATTCTCTTCCTTTCGAACTCCTCGCTCTCGGGTCGTGTGTGATCGGAGTCACCGTCAGTGCCGGGAGCTATGCTGGCAAGTACCGGGTTGTGTCCGCGATTGCCTCGCACGCCCACGGCCCACCGAGCGTCGTAGCTGCAGGAGATGATGCGCTGCAACTCCGATCGTGTCCGCAGTCCATACCCTGTCTGCATGCCTCCACCATCACGTCTGTCAGCAAAACACGGTCCGATCCGCGGGCTGCACGGTCGGGTGTGTGTAAGGCTTCAGCGGTGCGGACGCGCAAAGGAGCTTGCCGGACGAGCGCCGTCGGATTGACTGGGGGTTGGGTTGGTAGGGAGGTCGAGATCGTGGGATACAAATGTTTATACTGCTGTCAGTACGCGGCTTGCTCGCATGCATGCACATGTACAGCAGCCTGCGCGTCGGCGTGCGCTTGAGGCGCATCGCACGACCAGGACGAGCGTCACACATTCCACAATGCCGTGGACTGTGGAGATGGCGCATAGGACATTGTGGGCAGCTTCGCTGGCCCAAGCCTGCAAGGGCTTTTGCGCAGCTTCGAATGTGCATATGCTCTAGCGCAGATGCAGTCTATACGACACGCGCTGTTCGTTTGCACAGGAGCCGACAGAACAAGATGAGGGCAAGGGCGGGATGAAGCGCGATGAGCGGTCTCGTCCTGTTCCAAGGGACTGCATCTGCGCCGTCAGGCGAAACCACCTTGTCTGACTACTACGTCTCGAGAAAAGTAGTACTCACCTGCACGACACCTTCGGTATTTCCCTATGCTATGCATACAGCGCAAGGACGGGGGGGGGGGGCGAGAAGCCGCGGCAATCGCTACGTGCAGTTTCTGGTCAGCGCACGATGCACCAAGGTGCCTGGAGGGGAAAGAATGCTCACCGAGACCGCAGACATACAGTCCCGCGACGCGCTAAGCAGCATTAAGTGACGACGACGGGATATGCAAGTGAAGGGCTCGGGGAGAAGACGTGGTGGTGAGTAGGCGGCATCATTTGACCGGACGAGGCCCCGCAGGCCAGGAGAGACTGGACAGGTCACCGAGGCTGCTTGCGCCACACAACTGGCCTGGCTGGATATATGGCATGACGATGAAGCTCGCGCAACGTAGGCGGAGGTCGGGCGCGATGCGAAGGAGAACACATCATTATTCTGGGCAGGCGAAGGAGAAGGCTGCGAAGCTGAGAGGAGGGGAGGGCAAGAGACAACACGATCAGCTGATTGCGCTCGGCGGCAGCGCAGATGGAGGCGTGTAGCGCCCGGTGCTCGTTCGCTCTCACTCCATCCCGCCGTACCTACTCCCATCATCTCCTCGTACCTCCTCCATCTGATCCCGTTCCTCTTGCTTACTTACTCCTACTCCTTGCTTGCTCATTCCCATCACCTGGACCATGCGTTCGCCGACTGTCATTACTCATGGACTCGACTTCTCGGTAATCCCTGTTACTCGGGCGTCTCGTACGTATCGTATTTATACCCGACCTCGTACTCTCGTTACAGTAGCGTACTCTGTTAAAATCTGTAGTCCGAGTATTAGAGACCTCACTCGTGGAGATGACTGAACGAGTTTATTAGCATTACCTGTAGTCCGAGTATTAGAGACTACAGGGTTCTGTGAGTACACTATGTAGGCTGAAAATGTAGACGGCGACGTACCCTCACTCGTGGAGATGACTGAACGAGTGAGGGACGGTTGGGTGTGACGAGTGTTGAATATGTGCTGACGGGAAGTGCCGGTCCACAGCGCCTAACGCGTCATGCGGGAAATCCAACACTCCTCCTCGCTGTGGAGACGGAACATGAAGGAGGGATCATCAAACGACACAAGGGGAAGTAGGTGATAGACATGTAGGTATGAAACAATGAAACACGTGAGGAACACTCCTCCTCACATCGATAGCGAACACTATGAGAGGCCGAGAAACGAGCGGAGACGTGCGAATTGAGGACCGGGCAGGGGCTTCGTGAAGATGTCGGCAATATTATCAGCGGAGGGAACATAATGAACGGCTATGTCACCAGCAGCGGTACACTCTCGTAGGTAGTGGTGTTTGATGTCGATGTGTTTCGTGCGAGCATGGAAGGAAGGATCACCAGACAGAGTGATAGCCCCGGAGTTGTCGACAAACAGACATGACGCCTGCATTTGTGGATTGTCGACAGCGCGAAGAAGACTGCGGAGCCATATACATTCCTTTACGGCGTCTGCGGCGGCGATGTATTCAGCTTCAGTCGTCGAGTCCGCAACAGTGGCCTGTTTGCGAGCCGCCCACGTTACGGCTCCAGACCCGAGTGAAAAAGCGTAGCCAGCAACAGACCGACGGCTGTCAGGGCACCGGGCATGGTCGGAGTCAGACCAGCCCATAAGTCGGATTGTGGAGTCAGAGCAGCCCAGCACCAGGGAAAGAGAACGTGACCCCTTAAGATATCGGACGACACGGACAGTGGCTTGCCAGTGGCCAGTGGTGAAGCAATCTAGGTACTGAGAAAGCTGCTGGACCGCATAGGAGATGTCCGGCCGGGTCCCTGTAGCAATGTAATTGAGAGATCCTACAAGGGCGCGGTACAGCAGGTGCGAGACGGCAGAGTGGTCATCTGGCTCAGCATTTCGGCATAGCCGGAGACCGGCCTCCATAGGGGTGTTGACAGGGAGCTCGCCAGCAAGGTCGAAATGCGAAATGACCTTGTCAATGAGCGCCGTCTGGGAGAAACGAACTGTACGGGCAGACCGATCACGTTCAATGGCGATACCAATGCAGAAGCGGGCCTCGCCCAGGTCAGAGATCTCCCAGGCCGAGCGCAAGTCCGCACGAAAAGCGTCGCCAGCAGCTTTAGATAAGACAGCAGCGAGAAAATCATCGACATGGACACCAGCTATGACGGTACCGGCAGAGGAGGTGCGGTAGTACACACAGCTCTCACAAGCTAGCCGAGTGAAGCCCACAGACAGCAGGTGCGCGTCCATAGTTTTGTTCCAAGTCCTCCCACCTTGAGGCATCCCGTAGAGGCCCTTCCGGAGCCGCCACACCCAGTCCTGCCGTCCGGGCTCTTCAAAACCACGAGGCTGCTCCATGAAGCAAGCCTCGTCGTCAGGGAGTAGACCATAGAGGAAGGCCGTCTTGACGTCGACCTGTGCAGTGTCCCAGTTCAGTGAGGCAGCGATGTGAAGAATGACACGGAAGGATTCAATTCGCATAGTCGGTGAAGTGGTCTTGAAGAAGTCCTGACCAAGAACCGCCTCAAAGCCGCGCACAACCCATCGCGCTTTGAAGCGAACAGGGTTCCCGTTCTCATCCCGCTTCAG